ATTTGGGCGAATTTATTCCGGGTCAATTTTTTTCAAACTCCCAAAGGGGTACCATCATCGATTTCGGGCGATTTTTCCGAAATGCCATTTTCTTTTGTTTTTGGAAGCTCCAGATAACGGATTCAGACCGAGGCTATTCGTCACGGATAATGAATTCTATTCATCCTACTCTCCGCGGATGATAATCCATTAAGCACCAACTTGGGCATATTTATTTTCGGATGTCATTTTTGTAATTTTTTGTGCGTCAGATGTCCATTTTGTTTGGACTTTGAAGGCTACAGATCATTCGGATTCGGTCTGAAGCTATTCTACGGCGATGATTAAGTCTGCAAAGCACCGATTTGGACGGATTTATTTCGGGTCAATTTTTTGCAGATTCCCAAAGGGGTACCATCAGCGATTTCGGACGACTTTTCCGAAATGCCATTTTCTTTCGATTCTGGAGGCTACAGATCTCGGATTTAGGCCGAGGCTATTATCCACGGATAATGAAGTCTATTCACCCTACTCTCCGCGGATGATATGTCCGTTAAGCACCGATTTTGGCCAATTTATTTTCGGATGACATTTTCGTAATTTTTTGGGCTCAGATGACCATTCTCTATGGATTTTGAACGCTACAGATCACACATTCTGCCTGAGTATATTCTTCCGCAATGATTAAGTTTGTTTAGCAGATATTTGGATGGATTTATTCCGTGTCAATTTTTGACAGATTCTAAAGGGGTACCATGACAAATTTCGAGCGGTTTTTCCGAAATGCCATTTTCTTTTGATTTTGGATGCCACTGATCACGGATTCATGCTGAGGCTATTCTCCACGGATAATGAAGTCTATTCATCCAATTCTCCGCGGATGATATGTCCGTTAAGCACCGATTTGGGCCAATTTATTTTCGGATGACATTTTCGTAATTTTTTCTGCGTCGGATGTCCATTTTCTTTGGATTTAGAAGGCTACAGATCACGGATTTGGCCTGAGGCTATTCTTCAGCGATGATTAAGTCCGGTAAGCACCGATTTAGAAGAATTTATTCCGGGTCAACTTTTGCCAGATTACCAAAGGGGTACCATCACCTATTTCTGGCGATTTTTTGGAAATGCCTTATCTTTCGATTCTGGAGGCTACAGATCACGGATTCAGGTTGATTATATTCACCACGAATAATAAAGTCTTCTTATCCTACTCTCCGCGGATAATAATTCCGTTAAGCACCGATTTGGGCGATTTTATTTTCGGATGGCTTTTTCGTAATTTTTTGTGCGTCGGATGTCCATTTTCTTTGTATTTTGAAGGATACAGATCATAAATTCGGATTGAGGCTATTATTCAGCAATGATTAATTCTGTTAAGCACCAAATTGGGCGGATTTATTTCGGGTCAATTTTTGGTAGATTCCCAAAAGGGTACCATCACCGATTTCGGGGAATTTTTACGAAATGCCATTTTATTTCGATTCTCGAGGCTGCAGTTCACGGATTCATGCTGAAGCTATTCTCCACGAATAATGAAGTCTATTCATCCTACTCTCCGCGGATGATAAGTCCGTTAAGCACCGATTTGTGCCAATTTATTTTTGGATTGCATTTTCCTAATTTTTTTGGCGTCGGATGGCCATTTTCTTTGGATTTAGAAAACCACAGATCACGGATTTGGCCTTAGGATATTCTTCAGCAATGATTATGTCCCTTTAGCACCGATTTGGGTGGATGTATTCCGTGTCAATTTTTGGCAGATTCCAAAAGGGTACCATCACAGATTTCATACGATTTTTCCGAAATGCCTTTTTCTTTCTTTTCTGTAGGCTACATATCACGGATTCTGGATGAGGCTATTCTCCACAGATAATAAAGTCTATTGATTCTACTCTCCACGAATGATAAGTCCGTTAAGCACCGATTTGGGACTATTTATTTTCGGATGGTATTTTTGTTATATTTTGGGCATCGGAAGGTGATTTTAATTGGATTTTGAAGGATACAGATCACGGATTTGGCCTGAGGCTATTCTTCAACGAAGATTAAGTCTGTTAAGCACCGATTTAGGAGGATTTATTCCGGGTCAATTTTAGGCAGATTCCCAAAGGGGTACCATCACCGATTTCGGGCGATTTTTCCGAAATGTTATTTTCTTTCGATTCTAGAGGATACAGATCACGAATTCAGGCTGAGTCTATTCTCCACGAATAATAAAGTCTATTGATCTTACTCTCTGCGGATGATAATTCTGTTAAGCACCGATTTGGGCCAATTTATTTTTTGAATGACATTTTCGTATTTTATGGGCGTCAGAAGGCCATTTTCTTTGGATTTTTAAAGCAACAGGTCACAGATTCGGCCTGAGACTATTTTTCAACGAAGATTATGTCCGTTAAGCACCGATTTAGGTGGATTTGTTCCGGGTCCATTTTTGGCGAATTCCCAAAGGGGTACCATCACCATTTTCGGGTGATTTTTCCGAAATGACATTCTCTTTCGATTATGGAGGCTACAGATCACGGATTAAGGCCGAGGCTATTCTTCACGGATAATGAAGTCTATTCATCCTACTCTCCGTGGATGATAAATCCGTTAAGCACCGATTTGAGCCAATTTATTTTCTGATAGCATTTTCGTAATTTTTTGTGCGTCGGATGTCCATTTTCTTTGGACTTTTAACGATACAGATCACGGACTCGACCTGAAGCTATTCTTCAGCGATGCCGTTAAGCATTGATTTGGGCGGATTTATTCCGGGTCAATTTTTGGCAGATTCCCAAAGGGGTACCATCACCGATATCGGGCGATTTTTCTGAAATGCCATTTTCTTTCGATTCTGGAGGCTACCGATCACGGATTCAGGCCGAGGATATTCACCACGGATAATGAAGTCTATTCATCGTACTCTCCGCGGATGATAAGTTCGTTAAGCACCGATTTGGGCCAAGATATTTTCGGATGGCATTTTCATAATATTTTGTGCATCGGATGTCCATTTTCTTTGGATTTTGAAGGCAACAGATCACGTTTTTTAGGCCTGAGGCTATTCTTCAGCGATGATTAAGTCCGTTAAGCACCAATTTGGGTGGATTTATTCTGGCTCAATTTTTGGCAGATTCCCAAAGGGGGTAGCATCACCGATTTCAGACGATTTTTCCGAAATGCCATTTTCTTTCGATTCTTGAGGCTACATATCACAGATTCACGCCGACGCTATTCTCCACGGATAATGAAGTCTATTGATCCTACTCCCCGCGGATGATAATTCTAATAAGCACCGTTTTGGGCCTATTTATTATCGAATGACATTTTCGTAATTTTTTGGGCCTCGGAAGGTTATTTTCTTTGGATTTTGAAGGCTACAGATCTCGGATTTGGCCTGGGGCTATTCTTCAGCGATAATTTAGTCCGTTAAGCACCGATTTGGGCGGATTTATTCATGTTCAATTTTTGGCAGATTCCCAAAGGGGTACCATCACCAATTTCGGGCGATTTATCCGAAATGCCATTTTCTTTTGATTCTGGAGGCTAGAAATCGTGGATTCAGGCCGAGGCTATTCACCACAAATAATGAAGTCTATTCATCGTACTCTCTGCGGATGATAAGTACGTACAACACCGATTTGGGCAAATTTATTTTCTGATGACATTTTCGTAATTTTTTGTGCGTCGGATGTCCATTTTCTTTGGATTTTGAAGGCTACAACTCACGGATTCGGCTTGATGCTATTCTTCAGCGATGATTAAGTCCGTTAAGCACCAATTTGGGCAGATTTATTTCGGGTCAATTTTTGGACCATTGCCAAAGGGGTACCATCACCATTTTCGGGAGATTTTTCCAAAATGTCATTTTCTTTCCAAAAGCCATTTCCCTTGGATTTTGAAGGCTACGGATCACTTATTCGTCCAAACGCTATTCTTCTAGGATGTTTATTCAATTAAGCACCGATTTGGGCTAATTTCTTCCGTGTATATTTTTGGCAGACTCCAAAGGGGTACCATAACAAATTTCAGGCGATTTTCCAGAAATGCCATTTACTTTCGATTTCGAAGGCTATAGATCACGGATTATAGCCGAGGCTATTCTCCATCGTTACTGAAGTCTATTGATCCTATTCTCCACCGATGATTAACTCCAATAAGCACCGATTTGGGCAAATTCATCTTTGGATGACATTTTCGTAATTTTTTGGGCACTTTTTTTTTGAAAGGCCATTTCCCATGGATTTTGAAGGCTACAAATCACGGATTCGGCCTAAGCCTATTTTTCAATGATGATTTAGTCAATTAAGCATCGATTTGGGCGGATTTCTTCCTTATCCATTTTTGGCAGACTCTAAAGGGGTACCATCACAGATTTCGGTCGATATTTCCGAAATGTTTTCATATAAATTGCATACCCATTGGGTCGACCTGCCCCGACCCGCGACCTGTGATCAATTACCCGACTTGCCACGGGGCGGGTCTGGGTACCAAGAAACCCGCTCCGGACCTGCCCCATTGCCATTCCTAGTTCGTATATGTCCTAGTAGTTACCTGCTTCCCGTAGGCTACCCACTTCTTACGGCCATAACTTTGCGCTCGATTATCCGATTGACGCAATTCTTTTCCCCATCTCGCTTAACTTTTCGAGATCTTTGCAAAATAATACCTTCTCCGGCCTCCCCTTGTGTGTACGGCATTCGAGGGGCAAAAAAATCACGAAAAAATCAAATAAAAAAGGGGTGCAACACGAGGACTTCCCAAGAGGTCACCCATCTTAGTACTACTCTCGCCCAAGCACCTTATACGAATTTCACATTTATAAAACACGGAAGAGATGAATGATTAATAAGTAAAAAACGAACATAACATATAATATGCAGTTTTTGGAGCGAAGTGGAGTATGTGGACCACGGTTTATTCATTAATTAGCAAAGACAAGAATACAAGATACATGATAGAAAATACACCAAGTCGATCGACGTACATAAAGGCAAAGGAAGCGCGCAGCACGCCGGCGGGAAGTTTTTCAGGGTTCAGACGAAGACTTGGAGTTCATCCTTGAGTACACCAACCTGCACCTCCAACTTCTCCACCGCCCTCTCGATCTCCTCCACGTCGTTCTTCAGCGGGCCCACTCCCTCCCCGGAGACCATCTTCTCCCCGCCGGCCGCCTGCTGGAACCGGTCCCACACGGTCTGGACCGGTTTGGGGACCGTGACGCCGTACTTGGACCAGTCAAACAAGTCGTTGTGGCGCCGCATCAGGCTGGCCGGCCTCAGGTACATGTCCCCGGCGCCGACGTTGAAGTACATGACCGTGAAGCCTTCCCTGTTGACCAGCGCCTGGAGGTTGATGATGTCCCGGGAGGCCTCCGCCACCTTGGCGCCGTCGAGCACCGTCCCGAACACCTCCATTTCCTCGTGGGTGGAGCCGGAGCTCTGCCCGACGACCCCGGCCCGCTTCCAGGAGAACACGTCGGTGGGTATGGTCGTGGTGTTGAGCTCGTGGGCCTCCGGTTCGACCACGAGGAACGCGCCGCTGCTGAGTGCCAGCAGGAACTGGTTGTTGGATTCCAGCACCAGGCGTGACATTTTTGTCTCGTGAAGTCGAACTGAACTTGTAACTGTGACGTGTACTGATCAGCACACCGAGCTCGATCTAGCTAGCACGGTTTATATACGTTGAGAAAGGAAGTGTCGGCTGAGGAAAAAAAAGATCCTTATCTCTTCTGCGTAGGCTTATACTGCCATAATAGAGAGCACAAGTGGGAAAGGCATGCACGTAGATGGGAAGAGGTGCATGTTGGTCCACGTAGTTTGAAAGGAACGTACAACCACACGTGAAATGTATTGATCGATTAGCCCGACACATATCGTGGGGAAAATCGAGCAATATGGGACCGTATCCAATAAAAGTGATATAGACTATTGGACGTTAAATCTCCACAATAAATCAGTAGGTGGAATAGTAGATCCAATGTTTTTTTCTTTTTAGAAGTGGGTCTGTTGACAAAAATAAAATTTCAATTAATAAAGTAGACAATTTCATTAACTTTCTAAAAAAAAAATCAACGACGATTTTTTAAAATAAAATGATAAGTTCGCCAATGCAAGAAAAAGAAAAGGTTATTTTAAATAGTAAAGGTGTCTTGCACCCCCTCTTTTAGCATCGGATCTTTCTTTCTTTTATCATCACATCTTATGATTTCTTCTTGATTTTCGTAGGACTCTGTTGGCAATTTTCTCGTTCGTTTCTGATAATGTTTAAATAGTAAAGGTGTTGTCATGAACCAGTTGATCCCAATAATTCGAGTTGTTGGGAGAAAGCTATGCTGGATCTTATATCACACTCTAACACGCCCCCTCAAACGATTGCCAACTCACGGGTTTGAAGTTTGCACTTTGCACAGACCCATCATGCATTGTGCTTTAATAAACTGTTAATATTGGGGGTCGTGGAGATTCGAACACACAACCACTTGGGCAAACGAGCTCTGATACCATGTCAAGAACCAGTTGGTCCCAATAACTCGAGTTGTTGGGAGAAGGTTATGCTGGATATACAGGCCCGTGTTTAACCACTTCCTTACAAGCCCCCTCAAACGAAAGCCGACTCATGGGTTTGAAGTTTGCACAGACCCGTCATACCATGTGCTTTAAAGACAACGGTTAATATTGGGGGTCGTGAGGACTTGAACATGTGACTCACGTACAACCAGCTCTGATACCATGTCATAAACCAGTTGCTCTCAATAACTCGAGTTGTTAGGAGAAGATTATGCAGAATCTTATACCACGCTCTAACATCTTGCACCCTCTCCTTTTAGCATTTTTTGTTGTTGTTGTTATAGTTGTAGATATGTTCTTACAAATTTGAGGTGTTGACTAGAATTTTAATAAATTTTATAAATACTCTCCATATCACCCAATTTATTATTCCACCTCAACTGATAGCCACTCATATCTTCCCCTCCATCTTCTTATTTAACTCTTCAAAGCATGTGCCATTGTCGCTAGCTTTTACTTCTTTTGTCTACCCTTTCTTGTTAACATTAGTTCCTGCATAAGGATAAAGATCCATCCACATTGTAACGATATTTTGAGATAATTAACGGAATGTTCTAATTATATGTATATTTGTGTGACTAGAGCTAAACCTTAATCTATATAGTAATTAAAGTTCGATACCAAGGAGGATCCTGAATTTGATTATAGAAAACCAAGGTATTATTATATGAAATTATTGAAATTAAAAACAAGAAATCAAAATTAATATTTAACATTTTAAAAAATGGAAATTCGAAATAAGAAATGTCCACTCTCTCCCTCGCGATATCTTCGAGACGACTTGCAATGACGTTATTAACCTTTTGGCAATGACATCATCAACGTTTATTACTAACAGGATACTTTATGTCAGAGAAGCTCACCAAGTTTCTAAGAGTTGATTCACGAACAATGATGTCGCTAGGGTTCGTAAGGTCGCATGGCTGCTGTGGGGGGAACTAAGGGATAACCATCTTCCCGTTGTATTGTCATAATACCAGTTGGTCCCAATAACTCGAGTTGTTGGGAGAAGGTTATGTTGGATTTTATACAACACTCTAACACGCCCCCTCAAACGAAAACCAACTCATGGGCTTGAAGTTTGCACAGACCCACCAGACCTTGTGCTTTAATCAACTGTTAATATTGGGGGGTGGTGGAGATTCGAACGTAACACACGACCACTTGGCAGAACCAACTCTGATACCATGTCATAAACCAGTTGGTCCCAATAACTCGAGTTGTTGGGAGAAGGTTATGCTGGATCTTATACCACACTCTTACCATATTAACGTTATAAGTTAGTGGCCGGTGCTTTGTGCCCGTTTTCGATAATTATGGTCTATATTCTTGTCCACACACGCACTTCTCGAAAAATCTAATGGATCTACTGTTCCAACTACTCATTGATTATGGAGATTTAACGTTCAGTAGTCTATATCTCTTTTATTGTATATATATATGGTCCCATATTGCTCGATTTTTCACATGATATATTGTGTCGGGCTAGTTGATCAACAATTGTATGAGAAAAAATGTACACATCCCTAATTTAGTACCGCGCGTGACCACTTCTTACATGCAATACATTTCACGTGTGGTTGTACGTCCATTTCCACGTACGTGGACCAACATGCACCTCTTTCCATATACGTAACTCTCCCCACTTGTGTTCTATTAATACGTAGAGGATAAGGATAATATTTCACGTTTGCCAGCCGACACTTTCTTTCTGTCTCAAGATATAATATATAATCCGCTAGATCTAGCTTAGCGCCGCTTAGGACGTTACAGGTACAAGTTCAGTTCAGTTGTCATCAATAAAAAAATGTCGTCCTCCCGTGTGGTGCTGGACTCCAACAACCTGTTCCTCCTCCCGTACAACGACGGCACCGTCCTGGTGGTCGAACCGGACCAGAAGGACCTCAACAGCCAGACCATAACAACCGACATGGTCTCGTGGAGGCAAGCGGGTCGGGTCGGGAGCAAACCCGTGTGCACCCACCGCGAGCTGGAAGTGTTCGGCGTCGTGATCACCGGCGCCAAGCTCGTCGAGCTGTCCAACGAGCTCGTCAGGATCCAGGCCCTGATCAACAGGGAAGGGTTCACGGTCATGTACTTCAACGTCGGCGGCAAGGACATGTATCTGAAGCCGGGGAGTTTGGTGCGGCGGCTCAACGACTTGTTTGACTGGTCAAAGTACGGCGTCGTGGTGCCGACTCCGGTCGGGACGGAGTGGGACCGGTTCCAGCAGGTGGCCGGCGGGAAGGTGATGGTGTCCGGGAAGGGAGTGGCGAAGTTGAAGGCCGGAGTGGAGGAGGTGGAGAAGGCGTTGGTGGTGGTGAAGCAGATGGTCGCCAAGCTCAAGGTTGCCCTCCAGGCCTTCATCTGAAAAACTGCCCGCCGGCCGGCCGCCGTGTTTTCCTGATCATTCCCACACTTGATGCTTGGTGTATTTCTAATTCTATCGTGTATCTTGTATTTTTGTCTCTACTATAATTAATTAATCGACATTTTTCATGTGGATTGATTAAATTATTAATGAATAAAAAGTGTTTTTTTTCCCGTATGGCGTATACATGTATAGGCAATCGTGGGAATCTAACTCTACTAGCTATTATCATATTGAAATTTGTTTGGAAAAAAAATGTACTTGTTTTTACAAAAAATTAAATCTTGTACGTACACGAATGTTGGTTTGATTGGCTCGTGTTTTGTATCTTCACAAACTAATGGATAGCAAAGCGTTAATAATGCTATATAATTCGTTGTAAGAGGCCCTTGATTAGCTAGTTATGAACATGAAGTGAAAATGTGAATCGCTAAAAAAGATGTAAATCGATGATAATGTTATTTGAACTCTTGATGAGGATGTGGGCATGTGGCATAGTTTTAATAATTTCTTCATATTTATTCATTGATGAAGAAAATGTAGATCACTAATAATTTATACGAAATCGTTAATGATGATGTTGTTCGTGAATCGTCTCTTAAAAACTCGGAGAGATTTTCTTACGTAAAGTATTGTATCATTAATATATAAATGTTGATAATACCATTACAAAAGGTTAATAAAGTTATTGCAAGACATCGCGAAGAGAGGGATAGTGAACATTTCAAATTTTGTCAATTTTTTAAACATTAAATATTAATTTTGACTTCCCCTATGTAATTTCGAGTTTCAATAATTATAAATAATAGCACCTTAGTTTCCATTTCAACGATTAGAGCTCTCATTTCTCTCTCATCTTCCTAATGGGTGAAAACACAAACAAAAATTTGAAGTTTTTTTACTTAGGTTCAGTCTCCTAGTAAAAAAATAACATAATTGGATTTCATGATAGTTCTCAATACTCTTACATATTTGAAATGTCGATGTTGTGTTAGCTGGTCTACAGACAGGAAAAATCAATTTCATTCGATTTTCGACCCGCAAATTACATAGGATTAAGAAGGTGTTATATAAACATTTTCTCCATGCAACAAGAACCCTAATCTAAGATGAAAAAAATGTTACACAATCGGCACAAAACAAAAAAAAAATCAAACGTCTATAAACCCATGTACCTCGAGTCACTACCGATAAACAAACATCAATGCATATCAACAGTGTTTTTTTTACAACATCATTTCATTCCAAACCCAAACAAGTGGGAAGCATTACAGTTACAACAACGGAGCGACAAGGTCGGCAATAGCAGTCCATTCCGGGAGGAAAGAGATCGAGACGAGAGTTTCTCGCAATCCAATCAGCCAACACGTTGAATCGACTAGGAACAAACTCAACCGAAATCCAAGTAGAAACACAAAGAATGGAAAAACAATACGGGCGGCATTGCCAGGCGCCAAAGGCTCGGATCCTGTCTCAACGCCATTGGCGGATCTAGGGGGTGGCCAACCCAGGCCCCGGCCCAGCCCTCCTCTATATCCAAAGTTAGTATAGTCCTTATGAATTTTTCGATTTTAGACATTCGGTTCAGTGTTATTTTATAATAAGATTGTGTGTAACTAGAAAAATAATTCATATGAACATATTCAAATAACTACTCTAAATTTAGCTTATAAATTCTAGCCCTAAAGATTTTCGTCTAAATAAAAACAACGGAACCTGAAATTCTAAAAGTCTAAAGCGTAAAAGACTAATAAAAGAAATATGAGATTTATTCCATTGAAAATTTACTAGAGCAGTTGTTGGATATAGGGATGAACACACAATGGAAATTGATTAGTCGATTGATTTTAGTGTTGACGCTATCCGTTTCAACAGCTACTAAGGCGAGAACCTTATAAAAAATGAAACATGTGAAAACTGTTTAGCGCAACAAAATTAGCGATGAATTCCTCGCCGGTTGCTCAAGTATTCCAGAGCATACTATTGGTATGGATGTAGACTACAATATTGATGCATTCGCTAAATTAAAACACCATCGTGAACAATTGACATTGTATAAAAATATAAAATCATTATCCTTTTTACGGTATCTAATTTCTAATGAAATGCGGCCCAGTGCGCTACTGTATTCTGGATCCGCCGCTGCTCAACGCAATCGTCAACCTCTGACAATCGGACATCATACACGTTGTGACCGGATCGTGGGCCGCCATTGTTGGCCGGTTGAGTTCAACGATATTGCCTAGGCTGCTATCTTTCACTTCTTTCCCTATTCCTTTCCAGTTTAACTTGTTTGTTTCTTGTGGCGAACGGAATGGAATTTCTACATTTCCGCCTTGCGAATCACGGGTCAAACATGAATCACCAGCCCCTCCATCATCCAAAACAATCTATATATACTCTCTTCAAGTACAGAACTCCATACTACCGATCCATAGCTCGAGAAATCCCACAATGGATTCGCCACCACCACCCAAGAATCAGCAACTAGTCCACTTCGTCCTGTTCCCATTCATGGCGCAGGGCCACATGATCCCCATGGTCGACATCGCCAAGCTCCTAGCCTCCCGCCCGGGAGTCGTCGTCACAATCGTCACCACCCCGGTCAACGCCGCCCGGTTCAGACCCTCAATCGACCGTGCGGTCAACGAATCCCACCTCCCAATCACCATGATCCCCCTCCGCTTCCCCGCCGCCGAGGCAGGGCTCCCGGAGAACTGCGACATGCTGCCTTCCATCTCTTCCATGCTCGACATCTGCAGGGCCGCCGCGCTGATGGAGCCCGAGGCCCAATCCCTCTTCGAAACGATGCGACCGCGCCCCAGCTGCATCATCGCCGACGTCACGCTGCCGTACACCAACAGGATCGCGAGGAGGTTCGGCGTCCCGCGGATCAACTTCAACGGGTCCAGCTGCTTCAACCACCTCTGCATCCGCTGCATCATGATTCACTCGGAGGAGGTGGGTCGTTGGGGCGACGACGACGAGTACTTCGTCCTCCCGGGGTTCCCGGGAGGGGTCCGATTCACCGGGGCGCAGCTACCGATGCGACCCGGGAATCGGTGGGACGGGGTGCAGGAGGAGACGGAGGAGGATAGTATCGGGGCGGACATGGTGGCGGCCTTGTCGGAGGCACACGGGACGATCATGAACACGTTCGAGGAGCTGGAGGCAGAGTATCTGAAAGAATGCAGGGGAGAGGAACAGGGGAGGATATGGGCCGTGGGGCCCGTTTCGCTCGTGAATCGTTTCGAAACGGATAAGTTGGAGAGAGGGAACTCGGCATCGTTGTCGTCGTCGAATGACCGATGTATAAGTTGGTTGGATGGAAAGAGATCGAATTCGGTGATTTACGTTTGTATGGGCTCGCTGTGCAACCTGTCGTCGGCGCAGCTGATCGAGCTGGCGCTGGGGCTGGAGGCGTCGGACCGAGGGTTTGTGTGGGCGGTTAGGGAGACGGAGAAGACCGGGGAGCTGTTCGAGTGGATGGCGGAGGAAGGGTACGAGGAAAGGGTTTCGAGGAGAGGGACGGTGGTTCGAGGCTGGGCGCCTCAGGTTTTGATCCTGTCACACCCTGCGATCGGAGGGTTCCTCACGCACTGCGGGTGGAATTCCTGTCTGGAAGGGATCAGCGCCGGGGTTCCCGTGGTGACGTGGCCCTTGTTTGCGGATCAGTTCTGCAACGAGAAGCTGATCGTCGAGGTACTAAAAACTGGAGTGAAAGTTGGGGCGGAGCGTCCCATTTTTTACGACGGGAAGGAATTGACGGAGGTAGCTGTGATGAGGGAGCAAGTTGAGAGGGCAGTGAGATCGGTGATGGATGGTGGAGATGAAGGTGAAGAGAGGAGGAAGAGAGCGAAGGAGCTCGCCGAAATGGCGAAAACAACTATGGAAAATGGAGGATCTTCTCATAGAAATGTTACCATGTTGATTGAGGATATCATTGAACTACAAGAACAAAAGACAATGTAAACTCCACAAAATGAGAGAGAATGAAAAAGAGCATAATAAGAAGTTAAATGGGCTGAGCCCAGTTTGGGGAACTGCAAGCCCATAACAGTCAGGCCTTTGTTTTCGGATGATTTGGGGCCCAGTTCTAAAAATTCATAATTTGATTAGTCATGAAGTACCAATCGGAAAGAGACGACCGGTTCCAACCGGACCCTTCCGTCCAAATCTCCGACGACTTTTCCCTCGACCTTATCTCAAGCCCGACGTTGATTGATGAGACAATTTCCCATATTGAATATTCGACCATAGAAAAATGGCGGACGTTTGGCTTAGAACTTAGAATCAAAGCTTTTCAACTTTGTTAACGCTTTACTCAACAGTCAAAACTATACTCTTCATGGCTTCCCCACCCACCATCGCTGCCGTCGACGGCGGCGAACAAAACCAAGAAAAGCTCCACTTCGTGCTGTTCCCGTTCATGGCACAAGGCCACATGGTCCCGATGATGGACATCGCCATGGTGCTCGCGCAACGCGGCGTCCTCGTCTCCGTCGTCACGACCCCGGTCAACGCCGCCAGATTCGAATCCCAAATCCGCCGCAACGCCCTTCCGATCAACCTCTATCCCTTAGACTTCCCCTGCGCCGAATCGGGCCTCCCGGACGGCTGCGAGCCCTTCGACCTCCTCCCTTCATTCTCCCTCGCCGCCAATTTCTTCGCCGCCTCGGCCCGCATTGAGAAACTTTCTGATAAACAGAGAATTGGATAAGAGCAGATTTGGGGAAGATGCTCAATGCGAGCTATTTCCATTTCAGAGAAGCATATATACAGAGTCACATTTACAGTTTCACTAGCCGTTAAAAGGAAAAACTAACTAACCAATAAAGGCTGTACAAATGTCCTATAAAACAGTAAAACTCATACTACGTTTTATCACCATCAAACGGTGAGTTTTGTATCCGTTGCTTCTCTGATGCCTCAACGACGCCGTCTTGTTCTTCTTCTTTACTTGGGCGTCTCTGTTTCAAGTTCAATGATGAACTTGTTCTTCGTTCATCTCCAGGCAGTGCAACTAGTGGAGGAGTGGATTCCTGCTCGTCTTCACTCCTTTTCACCCTCCCACAAGCTGGCGAGTATAGATTATATACTCCCAGCTTGGACAATAACATGGAGAATCGTTCAATCGACAAACTCTTCGTGAAGATGTCAGCCAATTGAAACTCTGTTGGAACATAATGGAGGGAAATCAAACCTGATAGCACTCGTTCTCTGATCACATGGCAATCCACCTCTATATGTTTCGTCCTCTCATGGAAGACAGGGTTTTCCGCAATGTGGATTGCCGATTGGTTGTCACAGTAGACACGAGCAGGTTGTGAGTGTGAGATTCCAAACTCTGAAAGAAGTCGAATCAGCCACTGCACTTCACAACTGAGACTTGCCAATGCTCTGTACTCCGCTTCAGAAGATGAGCGTGACACAGTACTTTGCTTTTTACTTTTCCAGCTGATTAGGCCTGTTCCCAGAAATGTGCAGTAGCCTGTGATAGATTTTCTTGAGTCAGGGCATGTTGCCCAATCCGAATCACTGTATCCTCTTAGCTGCAAACTGGAATCACATGAATACAGTAATCCTTGACCTGGTGCCAATTTCAAATAACGTAGAACTCTCTCCAAAGCTCGAAGATGTAATGTGGTTGGCTTATCTTGAAATTGGCAGAGTTGTTGTACTGCAAATGTGATATCAGGTCTGGTTGTGGTTAGGTATTGAAGTTGTCCAACCAGATGCCTGTAACCACTGATATCATCCAGAGGCTTCCCTCCTTCTGATGACAACACCTCTTTAACAAATATAGGTGTTGATGCAGGTTTACATGAATCAAATCCTGCTTCCTTCAGTACATCCAGACAGTACTTTCTCTGTGAAATTGTGATTCCTTGTTTGCCTCTTGTCACTTCAAGACCAAGGAAATAACTTAACTCACCAAGATCCTTCATTTTGAACTCTCCATGGAGCATATTTTTAACTGCATCAATCGACTCCAAACTGACACTCCCCAATACAATGTCATCCACATAGACAATTAGGACCACCAGCTCATTCAAAACAAGTGAGGTAAAGATAGAATAATCACTCACTGATTGTTTAAATCCATGTTTGAGCAAGGCTTCTGTCAATTTTGCATACCACTGCCTACTTGCTTGCTTCAAACCATAGATAGATTTCTTTAACCTACAAACTTTCCCTTTGAACTTAGGATCTTCATCCATACCTGGTGGCAACATCATATATACTTCTTCAGTGAGATCTCCATTTAGGAAGGCATTGCTTACATCCATCTGATGTAAGTGCCAACCCTTAACTGCAGCAACTGAAATAAGAGCCTTCACTGATGCCATTTTTGCCACAGGAGAGAAAGTATCACAGTAATCTATCCCATATACTTGAGTGTACCCTTTTGCCACAAGCCTAGCTTTAAACCTTTCTACTTCCCCATCAGATTTCAGCTTAATTCTGTAAACCCACCTACATCCAATGGGTCTTTTGTTTGGTGGCAGTTCCCAGGTTTCATTTTCAATCAATGCCTTAATCTCTTCAGTCATTGCATTGTTCCATCTAGGATCCTGGGATGCTTGCAGATAGGTACTTGGCTCTCCCTCAGTACTCAGGATGTTAACAAAACACTGATGCTTAGATTTGAGATGAGTATAAGAGAGAGCTTGATGAATGGGATATTCAATTTCATAATCATCATGCCAGGCTGGTGGTTTAATATTTCTGAGTGATTTTCTAAGAGGAATTGGTGGATCCTCATGAGGAGAAGAAGTTGGAGATGGAGAAAAAGAGAGATGAGAAGGAATAGAACCTGACTGAGACTGAGAACTGGTCTCATCAGGGGAACCAGCAGGATGTATAGTAGAAGAAGTAGGGGTAGTAAATGTCCCCTCCTCAGACTGCTGGTGATTTGAGGTAGATGGTGAGGAAGAAGTTGGTGAAGGAGTGAAAAGGAAAGGCTGATCTGCATCATGAGGAGGCAGATCAGAAGGAGAAGTTGAGTGTGAGGGATTAGAGGAAGGAGAAGGAGAAGATAGAGTAGAAGATTTGTAGGGCAGAATCTGTTCATAGAACACAACATCTCTAGAGATGAACACACGCCTGGTATCAAGGTCCAGTAACTTGTAGCCTTTAATGCCACTTGGAATGCCTAGAAAGATGCATTTCTTGGCTCTGGGAGCAAACTTGGTCCTAGCAGGACCAGCTGTTGCAGCATAGGCAAGACAGCCAAAAACTCTAAGGCTGTTGTAATCAGGTGGTACCTGATATAAGATCTCAAAAGGGGTTTTGTTATCTAGAACTGGGGTAGGGGTTCTGTTGATAAGATAGGCAGCATGGAGGATGAAATCACTCCAATACAGAAGGGGTAAGCCAGACTGAAACTTCAAAGCTCTGGCAACATTCAGAAGGTGCTGGTGTTTCCTCTCAACTCTGCCATTCTGTTGAGCAGTGTACACTACACTCATCTGGTGTATAATTCCATGTGATTGATAGAAATCATTCATGTGGAATTCCATTCCTTGATCAGTTCTTATAACCTGAACTGATTTCTGAAACTGGTTCTTGACCATAACACAAAAAGACTGCAGAATGGTTCTAGCTTCATCTTTGGATTTCATAAGGTAAGTCCACACACATCTACTGTGATCATCAAGTATAGTCAAAAAATAACTAAAACCATTGTAGGAAACTGTTTGCAATGGCCCCCAAATATCAACATGGATTAAACCAAACACAACAGGATTTTTAGAAGAACTGACAGGAAAGGGAAGGCGTTTCTGTTTAGCCAAATGACAGACTTCACAATGAACAATCTTAGAAGGAATTACATTGGAAGACTGTCTACTAATAACTTCAATTCTAGAGACATGTGGATGTCCTAATCTGGCATGCCAGATATCAAATTCTTGTGGCTGAAGGTTGTGAGCAGGTGAGGCAAGACACTTGGGAGAGGAAGAAGTGGATTGTGTCTTGGCAAAGAGGTAAAGTCCCTTATCCACTTGAGCTAAACCAATCCTCCTCTGAGTAATAAGGTCCTGTATCACACAGTAAGAGGATTGAAAGGTAAGTGAGACTGGGTTTGTTTTGGTTAACTTGCTAACAGACACAAGATTATAACTGAAAGAGGGTACAAACAAAACTTGGGATAGGAATAGGCCAGAAGGGAGTTTGACAATTCCTATGTGTGTGGCCTTAACTTGTGATCCAGTAGGTAAACTCACAAAAACACCCTCCAAGGGTTTATACTTAATGTAGTATCTTAGATCACAAACAATGTGATCTGTGGCACCTGTGTCAAGTACCCAAAGGTGTCCACCAGAAGAAGCTATAAGGGCAGATAGAGCAGTGATACCTGAACTTGAAGGGAAGTAGTTCAGCTGTGGAGAGGGTCTTGTCACTGAGTTGGCAGCATGAACAGATGGTGAGGTTGGTGGTGATGGAGAAGGTGATGGAGTCTTGGAGAGGAGGAGTCTCAACTTCTCCATCTGTTCAACTGTGAACAGGTTTGCTAATCCACCCTTTGAGTCATGAGAAATGGAAGCTGACTCTTCCAGATTGGTGGTCTCAACTGAGCCTGCAAACCCTGATTCAGATGCTGCCTCTCGTGCCTTTTTGTTTTTCAGCTTGTAGCAATCTCTGATGAGATGACCTTCCTTCTTACAGTAACTGCATAGCTTCTTTCCATCTTGTTGTTGTTGCTGATTTCTTGCCTTAGCTTGATATTGTCCACCACCATGAGATCCAGTTGCAGCTAGAGCTAGAGTATCATTTTCAGAGTTTCTATTCATGATCTTTAGTTGTCGCTCTAGTTGCAAAATTTGCTTAAACACAATATCAATGCTAGGCAAGACTGGCAGCATTAAAACTTGAGTCCTTGCTGATTGATAAACCCCATTCAAACCCTGAAGAAACTTAATGATAAAATCATTGTCCTGGTACCTTTTCAAGGTCTCATATGGTCCAGGAACACAAGGACAGGTTGGAATGGGTCTGTATCGCTTGTATTCTTCCCAAACAACAGTAAGAGCAGTAAAATATTGACTCACAGACTGGTCTCCTTGAACACATTTAGTCAGCTGGGTATCAAGATCATAAACCCTAATGTTGTCTTCCTGACTAAATCTGTTTTTAAGGTTATCCCACACATCTTTAGCTACAGCTAATCTCATAACGCTATTTGCAATATCATCAGACAAGGAGTTGTAGATCCAGCAACGAATGGTGCCATTACAACGAGCCCAGGACTGGTAATGAGCATCTGTTACCTGAGGAACTGGGATTCTACCGTCGATGAACTGGGTCTTGTTCTTAGTCTCAAGAGCCAGCCACATAACTTCACTCCATGTATGGTAATTGCCATCTACTAGCTTCAGTGTGATGATGGTGGAAAGAGCTCCATCTTGAGGTGGTAAGTAGTAAGGATTGAGATATGGGTCTTCATATTGACCCATAATCGACTTCATCCGTTCAGTTGAGTCGGTGCTACTAGGGGTTTTTCCAGGATCAGGAGTTGTAGTACTGGAATCAGCCATGGTAGCAACGAAGATGAGAACAGAGAAGGTGAATTAAAGAAGAAAGGAGAAAGAGGAAACGAAACCCTAAAGTTAGGGCAAAAATGGATCTAGCGTGATGAGCAGCGCTCTGATACCATGAGAAACTTTCTGATAAACAGAGAATTGGATAAGAGCAGATTTGGGGAAGATGCTCAATGCGAGCTATTTCCATTTCAGAGAAGCATATATACAGAGTCACATTTACAGTTTCACTAGCCGTTAAAAGGAAAAACTAACTAACCAATAAAGGCTGTACAAATGTCCTATAAAACAGTAAAACTCAGACTACGTTTTATCACCATCAAACGGTGAGTTTTGTATCCGTTGCTTCTCTGATGCCTCAACGACGCCGTCTTGTTCTTCTTCTTTACTTGGGCGTCTCTGTTTCAAGTTCAATGATGAACTTGTTCTTCGTTCATCTCCAGGCAGTGCAACTAGTGGAGGAGTGGATTCCTGCTCGTCTTCACTCCTTTTCACGCATGGAAGCCCAGGCCGAATCCCTCCTCGGAAACCTCTCCCCGCCGCCGAGCTGCATCGTCGCAGATATCAGCCTGCCGTACACCGCCACTCTTGCGGCGAAGTTCGGGATCCCTCGATTCAGCTTCCAAGGGTTCGGCTGCCTCTGCCTCCTGACCGTCCGTTTGATCTGTCTCCATCCTGAAGAAATCGACACCTCCGACTCAGATTCAGATTACTTCTCCCTAACCGGACTCCATCGAATCAAGTTCACTAGAAATCAGCTACCCATCCGGATCAGGAAGGAGAACAGAGGGATCGGGGTTCAGATGCTAAAAGCGGAATCGGAATCTAACGGAGTGATCATGAATAGCTTTGAAGAGCTGGAGACAGAGTATATCGAGGAATTGAAGAAAGGGGAAGGCGGGAATGGGAAAATCTGGTGCGTCGGCCCCGTTTCACTAACCACCGGCGACCAATTGGACAGAGGCGGAAGCAGAGTAGGAGATTCTGCAATCATCGATTGGCTTGATTCGAAGGATACCCATTCAATAATCTATGTATGCTTCGGATCTACGTTTAATCCGAAGCCGGATCTGCTGATCGAGCTTGGATTAGGTTTGGAAGCGTCAAACCAGCCTTTCATCTGGGTAATCAGGGGAAACTCGAAGGAAAACTCCGGCGAGCTTCAGAACTGGATTGCGGGAAGCGGATTCGAAGAGAGGACCGCCGGGAGGGGATTGCTGGTCCGAGGGTGGGCCCCTCAGGTAGCGATACTGTCTCATCGAGCCGTCGGAGGGTTTCTGACGCACTGCGGGTGGAACGCGACGGTCGAAGGGATCAGCGCCGGAGTGCCGCTGATAACGTGGCCGTTGCTCGGAGACCAGTTTGTGAACGAGAAGCTGGCCGTCGAAGTGCTGGGGATCGGGGTTAGTCTGGGAGTGGAGCAGCCGGTGATGGTGGATTGGGAGGAGGTGGAAGCGTCTGCGGCGGTGGTGAAGAGGGAGGATGTGGTGAGGGCGGTGGAGAGAGTGGTGGGCGGCGGCGAGGAAGGTGAAGCGATGAGGAAGAGAGCGACGGAGCTTGCCCGGATGGCGCGGCGGGCGGTGGAGTGCGGCGGATCTTCTTATGAGAATGTTACGAGGCTGATTGAAGATGTGAAGAAATATCAAAAGAGGGAAATAAGGTGATTAGTTGGTAATTGGGAAAAGAAATTAGAACTGAATTGTGAATTATCCTCTCCCAAAGAAAATAAATTGAAATGTTACCTATAAATAAACAAGTACGGGCCACCGGCCCAAAAAAAGCAAATAAAAGGGCTTCAAGTACCCGCTTTAAAATCCTATAGATGATGGCCCACTAAGCCAACTTAAAAAGGCCTCCAAGGTCCACAAGGAAGCAGCAGCACCACGAACGGCAACACGACGCCGGTTGCCGCTACTGCCAGTCGACAACACTTGACCATGGCGCCCTCTCAAACTTCCTTTTCATAAATGTGGCCCTAATGGATGAAATCTGTATGGTTTAAAATTCAATGAATGCCCAAAGTCCAAAACGAGATGAAGTATGAACAGAGAACTCTTATCAACAGTACAATTTTGCACTTAACTCGCAGGCCATAACCAAAACAAGCCCTGAAACACAAAAGCCCTATCAGTCGGCCCAACTAGAGAAATGCCAGGCCGTTCGCCAAACCCCATTTCTGTTACAGGCAGCCGATCAAATTTGAGTCGCTATCTTCGCATGCAGTCTGCAGCACCACCGCGATTTTGCTCGACGTTTGGACTTTGGGGAGACGACAATGCTCTCTGCCAGGCCGCCATCCCTACCTAAAATAACTTCTTGCATTTTGTATCCAAACGACTTGAACCCTCCAATCTCCATCCGACCACACAAATCGAAATTCGTTACGACATTTCCATGACATGACAGCGCTCTCTGTCTCTGTTCTCTGTCTCTCAAACTTTGTCATCTTTCCTGGCCCTGTCTCCTTGCTTATCTTTGCACTTACGTCACTCCCGAAAGCATCACATGTGGCTCCAGTGGCTGAAATATGTGGGCTGCGTGCTCTGGAGTTGAAGATTGCTCTATAGTGCATGAGGTTTTGGTTTCGTACTGGAGTACTTATTTATGGTTAAAGATTCATCATTGCCCACATTCTAAAATGGGAATGAACTTATGGACACAAAACTCTTATCAATATGTTATAACATAATCGACAATCCAAAAAAATAAAGAACATATAGATTTATGTGGTTCACTAAGTCTATATGTGTTAGTTTGTGTTTGTGTTGTTTGTTGCTGCTGTGCTGGTTTGGCCCGCCCCTCTCGTCTGTTTGGGCTTGAGGCTTTCGTCGGGTTCTGGGGGCTTGTGGATCTTGGTGATTGTTGGGTCTCGGCAGGGATCCTCCGTAGTTCGTTAGATCGGGGGTGGTTCCGGTGGCCGGCCGGCTTGGTTGTGGGCTGCCGTGGTTTTGTATTGTTTTACTCTGTATGTGTTAGTTAATCCACATGTATGAGAGACCGATTTTACATTTTCCAAAGGGTCTAATTCTAACCCTACATGGAATAGAAAATGTTACAAACCGTACCAAAAACATTAAAACAAATGCATAAGCTCATACAACAAGACATCCGTGATTTCCGGTCAACGACATATAATTTGTCTTCAAATAATAGCAACACAACATCATTGCAAAAAAGAAAGAGATATAGGACATTTACTATTCCATATTACCCATTTCGAGATTACCTTAAGAAAATACAAAATGAAATATAAATTTCGTATATATTTTCGCGTTTCTACATATCCACTCGGCTCTCTTAATAATATACGAAAGAGCTATTAGAAACTCTTTCAAAGACATGCTCAATTTTCATAATATACCCCCGAGCACTTCTACTATGCTATATAGTATTGATGCTTTAATGTACAACTTGAAGTTGTACCATAACATTAAATGTATAGGTTTAGATTGTACCATAAAGGAATTTGTATCATTATGTTATGGTACAACTTTACAATTTGAAGTTGTACCATCACATAAGGTACAAATTTAAGTTGTACTATAAAAGAATTTGTACAAAAAGTATAGGTACAATATGAAGTTGTACCATAACGTTACAGGTACAATTTCAAATTGTACCATAAAGAAAAAACTTATAGCACCAATGCTATATAGCATTGTAAAATTCCTCGTATACCCCAATTATATCTTCCATATCTTTCTTATATCCTAATGTTAACATATTCTCCCTATTATCTCAAATGAAAACTCGACCTGTTCGGACCAGATACTAAATTACCAACCCATCCAAATCAACACATATCATAGCCACAAACATGACATATTGAATGAAGTTCATACACGAACACTCAATTCCCACCACACTCCTCCTATGAAGACCGAATCCTCGAGTACTCAACTTCAACTTATATAAACCTCATGATGTCACACAAAGATGAGCTCAATCGACAATCATTCTCTTCGTCACCTCAGTACCCAAAGCTCTGAATCTCAAAAAAATGGGGTCACTAACCATGACTCCACAAGTAACCCACTTCGTCTTATTCCCATTCATGGCGCAAGGCCATCTCATCCCCATGGCCGACATCGCCAAGCTCCTCGCATCCCGCCCCGGAGTCCACGTCACCATCGTCACCACGCCGATCAACGCCGCTAGAATCAAATCCTCAATCGACCGTGCAGTCAACGAATCACACCTTCTCATCAACCTCGTCCAGCTCCGTTTCCCCTGTTCCGAAGCAGGGCTCCCGGAGAATTGCGAGAGCTGCGACTTGCTGCCTTCCCTGAACTCCTCAATGGGAATCTTCAAGGCCGCCGCTTTAATGGAGCCGGAGGTGGAATCCCTCTTCGAAACCTTAAACCCACCACCGAGCTGCATCATCTCCGACTTCTGCCTTGCTTACACCAACAGGGTAGCGAAGAAATTCAGCGTTCCGAGGATCAGCTTCCACGGGTTCTGCTGCTTCAGCCTCCTCTGCCTCCACTGCATCAAGCTCCACGGGGAGGAGGTGGATCGGCTTAGTGCGGGCTCCGATGACGAGTACTTCGTCCTCCCGGGTTTTCCGGGAGGAATCGAATACACCAGGGCGCAACTTCCCATGCGCCCTGCGAATGGAGGGAATGGGGAGTCGAAGGATGAAGTAGTTGTGGATGATATAACGAAGGCAGAGTCGGAGGCCTATGGGGTGATTGTGAACACGTTCGAGGAACTGGAGGCAGAGTACTTGAAGGGATACAAGGAGGCGAAACAGGGGAGGGTTTGGTGTGTTGGGCCCGTTTCGCTGACCAATCAACTCGAATTGGATAAGTTGGAAAGAGGGAACTCCTCCTCGTCGTCTACTGCTACCGTAGACAAATGTATAAGCTGGTTGAACGAGAAGGAGGAGAATTCTGTAATTTATGTATGTCTGGGCTCAATATGCAACCTCTCGTCCGTGCAGCTGATTGAGCTGGCATTGGGATTGGAGGCGTCGGAGAAAGAGTTCGTGTGGGCGATTAGGGAGACCGAGAAGACGAATGAGCTATTCGAGTGGATGGCAGATGAAGGATTTGAAGAAAGGGTTTCGGGGAAAGGGATGGTGATTCGAGGGTGGGTGCCTCAGGTTTTCATCCTGTCCCACCCATCGGTTGGGGGATTCTTGACGCACTGTGGGTGGAATTCTTCGTTGGAAGGGATTAGTGTTGGGATTCCCTTGGTTACGTGGCCTTTGTTCGCGGATCAGTTCAGTAACGAGAAGTTGATCGTCGAGGTGGCGAGAATCGGTGTGAAAGTTGGAGCCGAGCGCCCGACTTTTATTGATGGGAAGGAAGTGACGGAATCAAATGTGACGAAGGAGCAAGTGGAGAGAGCAGTGAAATTGGCCATGGATGGTGGAGAGGAAGGCGAAGGGAGGAGGAAGAGAGCGAGAGAACTTGCAGAGAAAGCGAAACAAGCCGTGAAAAACGAAGGATCTTCTCATAGGAATCTAACCATGTTGATTGAGGATATCGCTCAACAACAAGAGCAAAGGAAAATGTAAGGATGGCGTGAATGCTTTGCAAAAAATTGAAGATTCAAGATACATTCAATCACAAAAATTTATAATTTGGCAATTGATACATAAAATAGAGAAGAATGAAGAAGCATAATCACAAAACTCTTTTCTTGTGAACAAAGTAACTCAAGAATGATTCCTCAACTTCCGATTCATAAGGTGTTTCAGAGATGTTGTAGTTCTCGTCTTAGATTCAAGAGCTCAAAGACAAAGATTTCCCAAGTGACTGCAATAGTTGGTTGAATATAGAAACCCTAAGTTACATCCATCCTATTTGAAACAAAATTGATAGGAAAGAATTCAAGACTAACCCTACTGTCAGCCTAGACACAAAAAGGAAGAAATTCTGGTTTATGCTACAGCTTTCCCAGAAAACTGTTGGCCCGCCTACATATGGTGAGGAAGAGGCCAGTAATTCAGCTGGTGGTGGAAATTAAAGAAAGAAAAACTTAATTTACTAATAACTCAAATGCAGTTGGGGAGATGGATAGTAGATAGATCCAACCAATTGCAATCAATTGGTTCCCCATTTTCTCTGCTATAAAAAAGGAATGTGGTTCTCCTTTTCAGGTGCATCCCACACCAATTCTTCCTCTCTCGTTTCTTTCTCCGTAGCCTTCTTTTGTATGCTCTTTGAGCAATTCTTTACTTGTGGGTTTTTGGTAGTGAAACGTTTTCACTACCACGGGTAGATAGGAGATTTCCTTGTGAGTGAAATAGTGAGGTTGTTTGGGAAACACCGTGTGTTCTATTTTTTGTATCGAGAAAATCACTGTAACCTACCATTATTATAGTAAAGAAATACTCCGGAGCTGTTGTTCCCGTGGACTGGCCCAAAATCAGGGTATACCACGTAAATCCTCGGTGTCATGTATTATTATCTATGCTTGTTGCTATTTTGAGAATAGTCGTAGTATATTGCATTATTAAATTACCGAAGTAAATTGATCTAAGTAAGTTGGTTACCGTAATTCTGGAGGCTCTGCCACCAAGTCCAACTTATTTGTGAACTTTTTACAAGCGTGTGATTTCTTAGTGCAATATATTTACCCGCTATTCTCACCCGCTGCGCCCAACAAAAACAACCCAACACCACAAACGCTAGCACCCTAGCAGCCATAGCTGATAGGTACATTTACTCACAGATTAACAGCAACTGCCACCATATATACACGACCAAGGACCACCACTTCCCAGTGCAGCTTGCTATGGACCTCCACAATCTTCTTGAGCAAGACGACAGCAGATCGTTGCCTCTTGTGAGACGTTGTGAATATCATGGCCACACAATCACCTTTGCCCTTGCGTCACCGCATCCTACTTCCGTACTTACCTTGAGTTATTTAGCAGCTCGATAGTTGCCGGTTGTTCTCCATTTTCAACCCAGGGTAGAAAAAAATAAGAATCTTTGAAATCCAAACATGGGTTCCCTTACCGGCACCAAAACCCAGCAAGCTCACTTCGTTATGTTCCCATTCATGGCGCAGGGCCACATGATCCCCATGGTCGACATTGCCAAGCTCCTAGCGTCCCGGCCGGGCGTCCTCGTCACACTCGTGACAACTCCGGTGAACGCAGCCAGATTCAAGTCCCCGATCGACCGTGCAATCAACGAATTAGGTCTCTCAATCAAAGTGGTCCAGCTTCGATTCCCCTGTTCAGAGGCAGGGCTCCCTGAGAACTGCGAGAACGCCGACTTGCTCCCTTCCTTCTCCTCCCTCATCGATTTCTTTGTCGCAGCCGCGTTAATGGAGCCTGAGGTGGAAACCCTGTTCGAAACCTTGAAGAACCCACCACCGAGCTGCATCATCTCCGACTTCTGCCTTCCTTACACCAACAGGATAGCGAAGAAATTCGACGTCCCGAGGATCAGCTTCCAAGGCTTCAGCTGCTTCAGCCTCCTCTGCCTCTACTGCATGAAGCTCCACCGGGATGAATTCGAGAGCTCCGCGAGGAGCTCCGACCACGACTACTTCGTCCTCCCGGGGTTTCCGGGAGGAATCGAGCTCACCAGAGCGCAGCTTCCGATCCGGTACGAGGATCTATGGGGTGGGATGACGAACAATGGAACTGAAGTTGATATGGGCAAGGCAGAATTGGATGCTTATGGGGTCATTATGAACACGTTCGAGGAACTGGAGGCAGAGTACCTGGAGGCGCTCAAGGAGGCAAAACAGGGGAGGGTGTGGTGCGTTGGGCCCGTTTCGCTGACGAATCGTTTCGAATTGGATAAGTTGGAGAGAGGAAACTGCTCCATCTCCGCTTCCTCTTTGTCATCTTCATCAGCTCGAGTCGATCCATGTCTGAGTTGGTTGGATGACAAGGAACAGGGTTCAGTGATTTATGTGTGTATGGGCTCGATATGCAATCTCTCGTCGGCACAGCTGATCGAGCTTGCTTTAGGTCTTGAGGCGTCAAATAAGGCGTTCGTGTGGGTCGTTAGGGAGATTGAGAAAACAAAGGAGCTTTTCATATGGATGGAAGATGAGAAATTCGAGGAGAGAGTTTCTCCGAGAGGCGTGGTGATACGAGAGTGGGCGCCCCAGGTACTGATCTTATCTCATCGTTCGATTGGAGGGTTTCTGACGCATTGTGGTTGGAATTCTTCCTTGGAAGGGATTAGCAGTGGGGTGCCTCTAGTGACCTGGCCTCTATTCGGCGATCAGTTTTGCAACGAAAAAATGATCGTCGAGGTGTTGAAAATTGGAGTGAAAGTTGGAGCGTGGCGTCCTACGTACTTGAACGGGAAGGGTGAGACAGAGGAGGTGTTGGTGACAAGGGAGCAAGTGGAGAGAGCAGTAAGACTGGCCATGAATGGTGGAGAGGAAGGAGAAGAAAGAAGAAAGAGAGCAAAGAAGCTTGCCGAAATGGCAAAACTAGCTACAGAAAATGAAGGGTCTTCCCATAAAAACGTCACCATGTTGATTGAAGATATCATCAAACATCAAGAGCAAAGGAAACAACAGGAAATAATCGTATAGTTCTCGAACTTTGATAAATTTTTAAAATAGGTCATAATCTTTTGTTGTAAAAGTACTCTTAGTACTTCTCTATTTTTTTCCATGCATTGGAATGTCTATACTTTTAAAATTTTACAAACAAATCTTATTTGGTACTATAAGGAATTTCAATCACTACGCGCTAATATGTATTTGAGTAATAATAGTGATTATAACTAATAATCACTATTAATTAGCTTCGTTTTAAGTAACCTTCTCCTCAAGAATGAAAGGATGAGTACAGATGTTAATGACGATATTGGTGGCAATGTCTCGATGATGCTTCAATTGCTACTTGCGCTTCTTGTATTTCCAATTCAGCCGAAGCACTTGTGAACAAAGTAACTCAAGAACGTTTCCTCGACTTCCAATTCATAACAAGACCATCATCTCTCTTCTGCTCCTTTCGTCAATTTCCCAACTTATGCATGTATCTCTGCTTTGCATCAGTTCTGCAACGAGAAGTTGATCGTCGAGGTGATGAAAACTGGAGTGAAAGTTGGAGCTTCGCGCCCCACGCTCTGGGACGTGAAGGAGGAGACAGATGAGGAGGCACTGGTGAAGAAGGAGCAAGTGGAGAGAGCGGTGAGGCTGGCGATGGATGGAGGAGCGGAAGGAGAATGGAGAAGGAAGAGAGCAAAGGAGCTTGCCGAAATGGCGAAACGAGCCGTGGAAAATCGAGGCTCCTCTCACACAAATGTTACCATGTTGATCGAAGATATCATTGAACAAGCAAGTGCAAAGGAAACAGTTGGGGAGAAATCGTATTAGTTTATTCAAAAAAATCGGTGCAAGAAATCAAAGAACATTAAAATGTGGGGATCTGTCATTCTCTCTATGTATTAGTTTATTTCAAAATGGCGCGGGAAAAATTGGGAGGGCAGAGTGCTCTGTTTCTCTCCATTGAATCAATCAAATAAAAATTCCAAACAAAGCAAATTGATCAGTCGATGTTGGCAATCACGGCGTCGACGACCTGTTGGGTGGTGCTGTCCCCGCCGAGATCCTTAGTCAGGCACTTCCCTTCAGCAATCACCCTCCCGACGGCGGTCTCCAATCTGTCGGCGAACGACGGGAACTGGAGGTGCCTGAGCATCATTGCCGACGAAAGCAGGAGCGCCACCGGATTCGCCTTCTTCTCCGCTATGATCTTGTCGTTCCCCACGTTTCCGGCTGATGTGCCTTGCTCAAACACCGCATAGTCCGCTCCCACGTTCCCTGCGAGAAACCACGCGTTTCGATTAATCCGATAACTCCAGTTGTTGAGAGAGATCTCAACTGTTTGAAGAAAAAAAATAAGTGTTACCTCCGGGCATGAAGCCGGTGCCTCCAGCGATTCCGGCGGCCGTGTTGGCGACGAGGTTGCCGTAGAGGTTCGGAGTGACCATGACGTCGAACTGCTCGGGCCTGGAGACGAGCTGCATACAGCAGTTGTCGACGATGATCTCGTTGTAGGCGATGGCAGGGTACCGTTCGGCGACCTCCCGGCAGGATTCGAGGAAGAGGCCGTCGGCGAGCTTCATGATGTTGGCCTTGTGCACCGCCGTCACCTTCTTCCTGTTGTTCAGGTAGGCGTACTCGAAGGCGTACTCTGCAATTCGCTCCGAGCAGTGCTTCGTTATCACCTGCAATTGAAGATCAACATATAAGCCCTTCCAAAGCAAATGAGTATATAAGAAAACAGAAGGCATAATTCACAACAACAAAAAAACATCATCCAAGGATTACGTTCAATTCTTTTTGTGTTCGAGGCTAGAGACCAATATTCATAATCATAGCCCTCTCGACGCAACTATCACCATCATAGGGAGAACAAAACAAAACAAAAAGAAAATATCGAATTATAAGTTCAGAAGAAACTATAATCTCCAATGATCATGAACATTATGATAGATCAATTCAATATCTCGCACATTTGTGTATCTCTTCGAAGAAGAATTTCGATACAAAAACCCTAAATAGTCATATAAATTTCTCATGTCTAACCTAACTCACTTATCACCTGCGCGCGATTGAGGACAACACAAGCCCATCAAAATCAAATGAGGTAAAGGGATGGGAGAAGGATCATCTATATAAGAAAAAGAATGCATAAATTCACCAAAAAAAAAAGTTGACGCTATCCTATGCTTCGACATTGCAAACAATTATCAAAACATGCGATCAGTAAAAACATAAGATCGCTAAAATATCATCCCAGAACTATACATTCAATCCTTTTCGAGTTCGAATCTGGAGCCCCAAAGCACGTATCACCATCCTAAGGAGATCAAAGCAAACAAACAGAAAAGGACAAAACTTTTAAGTTCATGAGAAAATTCAAATGAACATGAACATCATGCTAGACCAATTCAAATCTCGTACATTTTAATTATCTCTCAACGAATTTCGAGACCCGAACCATACATAGTCATATACATATATCCCATGCCTAACCTAACTCAAAAAGATTCAAACATACACATATCCTACATATCATCACCAAAAAATCACAATCAAAACACACACAAACAAATCCAACCAATATAGCAATGACAAACAACAAAAACAAAAAACAAAAAAACAGACAAAAAATTATGAGGGAACCTTAAGACTCTCAACAACGCCGGGAACCACCTCGTGCTCGAGCCCGGCGTACTCCCCCTCCGTGTTCTCCCTCACCACCACGATGTCCACCTTCTCGTGCCGGATCGGCAAGCCCGGCATGTTCCTGCAGTTCACCAGCGCCGCGTACAGGTCCAGCTCCTTCCTCAGGTGCACGTTCAGCGAGCTCACCCCGCCGCCGACGGGCGTGATCAGCCCGCCCTTGAGACAAACCTTGTTCCTCCTGATCGACTCCACCACCTCCGCCGGGAAAATCTTCATGTTTCCGTGCACCTCGTACCGCTCGAAGTACACCGGCGCGTGCATCGCCTCCATCACCTGCTCCACCGCGTTCGTCACCAAGGGACCGATCCCGTCCCCCGGGATCAGCGTCACGGCCCGCGGTGTCCCGTCGCCGGGACGCGGCATGTAGGTGATGGTGCGGGAGCGCGGTGGCGCCGCCGTGAAGGAGAGGCGCTTGAGGAGATTGGGGAGGGATCGGCGCGCCATTGTTTTCTGGGGTGGATCTTAGGGATTTGTCGTTTTTCTTTTTTTTTTGGTTTCTTCTCTTTGTGTCGAGGGGAAAGGAAATTTGGGGTTTTTTTTTGTTTTTATATTGGGGATTTGCATGGGAGTCTCATGGTGAAGAAAAAAGTGGGGGTGATTCGGATTGGATGTTTATTTGGACCAATTGAGTGAGCCTTGTATAGAGAGCATGGTTGTCAATCGACCCGCGGTTCAACCAGTATTCGGACAAAAATTGGCTGGAATCGACATACACCGACATAGAAACTGGTTGGAGTGGGGTGGGGTCGAACCATGCCACATGCTAAACCGACATAACGATCGGTTTTCGACAACCTCGCGATAGAGAGATCACTTTTCGACGTGTTTGGGGAAGTTACGGAGACTTCACTCGTACATGGGGGGTTGTCATGGTTCGGTCTGGTTGAAGCCGGTATACGCGATCGTGTATGAAAAAAAAAAAAAACGAAACGGTCGACGTTTGAACCCGAAAGAGAACATGCTTGATCTTATTTGGTTTCTGTTATGTTCGTATGTTCCGTAATCCTAGAGATTTAAAAATTAAGTGAGATTTACTTTGGTTCAATTTGGATCATCAAGTGACGTCTGGTTTTTGGTCCGACTCAAATCGAGGACCGACGTGCGCATATTTGATTCGGGCGGTCTTTTCAATTGTATTTCAGCGAGCGATCCTTCGAAATGCTAGTCCGACTGTCAATCCAACTAAGAATAACATACGACGATGTTGACAATGATCGTGTTTTTCATCGTAAACAAGAGCTCTTTCATAGGGATTGAAGCTTGAACCAGCCTCTGTTACCTTGGGTTCATATTCAAGTGTATAGAAAAATTTCTATGGCGGAGATCTTGTGATTTGGAGTAAAAAGGGTACTCTTTAGCATTTCTCCCACTTTCTGTTTATAGTTAGTAGCCTTCTTGTGATCACGAGGCTGGACACTTGACCTTTATTGGCTGTGATACTTAGGAGTGTTTGGACTTGGGGTTAAGGACGTCCTTAATCTTTATGCCATTGGATCTCGCATCGCGCAAATCACAACCGTTGAATTCACAACTGTTAAATACATGCATGGCAATTATATCCTCCACCCCATAAGAACGCTGACTGGTTTGAAGTATATACTGCAGATAAGAATCCAGTATAGAATATCTATTGCACTGTTAAACAAACATAGAACACTGAGGTGCACAAAATTACTCTAAATCTAATGACAAAATGACAGTCCCAGTGTCAACACCCGTGTATCAGCAGTAACTAACAGTAGTGATTACATGATCTAAAATCACAGAGGAAAGAGTGAAACCATTCTCCAATGAAGACTTGACCAGAATTTATCATGAACAGATATTACCTACAAAAATATAGTCCACTGTCGATAGATTGTGTGCAAATCCCAAAATCCAACTCAAGCTAATCTCATCTGATTCAAATGAACAAAAAAGAAAAAAAACATTGAGTCATACAGAGGGATCTATGTCATACCGGAGAGTAACAATGGCTGCTGAGCAGCAGATCTTTCAAGTTTCCCAAGCCAGAAAATCGGCTGCCTCATCTTCCAAATGCATATGCATATACAAAGAACATATGGGATTCTACTGAGCAGGTGCAGGTGGATTAGCACTACTAACCCCCAACCCCATCTTTTGCCCCAAAAGAGTCAACTGATCGACGAACTCCGCACCAGTCAGAATCTCCGTCGTCCCATAAACAATATGCTTCACAGGCTGCTGCCTTTGAGCAAGCTCCTGCAACCCTCCATACTCCACATAATTCCCACCACCAACCATGAACACAATCGCTTCCTTAAACGGGCCTTTCAAACCCCCTCCCCCAGAGCTGGACTTGGGGGCCCTCGGATCTAACACGAGATAGTTGTCAATCTCAGGATTCGGTTTCCCTTCCATCAAGGCTTCCACGGTCCTAGTCAACGCCAGTTGTCTGTCGCTCGACAGCAAGTTCTTCACACCAGCAGTGACAGCACTCAATGACTGACCGTACAGCTTCTCGGCCCAATCCACAATGTTACTTCTGCTTGCAGAATTTGCTGAAGCAAGCTGGACGTTCAAAGACTTGATCTTCTTCACATACTGGAATGCACAAGGGTCGACTTCTGACTCCTTGAGAGCCGATTCGACCAGCTCCACCTCTTGTGGGTTGATGGTCTCTGAAGATATGAGGTAGATGATTGCAAACCTCAGCTTGTCCATCTTACTTCCTTTCCCTTTGAGAACCGACATTAGTTCGCTTCTATCAATGCCTCCTCTGATCATCATGTCGTTCTCCATTTTAGCATAGGAATCCAAAGACCTCTCTTTGATCTCGCCTAGCAAAACGGTTGCAATGTTGGTGTGCTTATCAATCACCTGCTTTCGTTCAGTCAACTCAGGCAGCGAATTGACTGCATTCATCAAATGCTTTGTGTTTCCAATCAAGTCTGTTCCTTCAAACTCCGACTGTCCATCAGCACCACCTGTCCTTCGATTCACCTCGTCAACATCTTTCTTGTACTTGTTCAACTGACTCTCAATTTCCATTGCGACTCCAGGAAACTCGATAGATCCATTTGTAAGCCAGAATGGATCTGAACTATCCAATTCATATGATCTCATCCCGCCTTTCTCTCCTTGCACAGTCAGCCTGTTGAGCTTTAGCCCCAGCACATCATGAACAAGTGGACAGTACCTGAAATCGTGTTGAATCCCAACCGCCAGCTCGAAATTCCTATCGAACAAGCACAGAATTGGCCTTTGAAACGAGCTCATGAAGTTGCCACCCTCAGAGAACAAGTTATTCTTAGCCAACAAGTGATCCCTCAGCTTCTGATCCAAAGCTGAAGCTACCATCTCAGCCGGCCCTCCACGTGGGCATCTAATCACCGGAACAACAGCTAGGGTGGCCAGCACACAGAACAAGCCACTCACAATCTTCTCCACGATCTCCTCAATCTCCTTATCCCCAGCTGAAGGATCATTCAACTGGACATAACTAGCCTTCTGTGCTAAAGAGAACAAGGTGTCCTCCAATGTCACAAACTCTAAGTACTGATCATGAACCTTTGCAATTCTGTTTATCGAATCCGAGCCTAGGGTTCCCGAGGCGAGATCCTCCAGGAGTGGTCTGGGGATGGAGGACGAGAAGTTCAAGTGCAGGCTGTCATAGAGGCCACGAGAGGCGTCGGTGATGATACGGTGGATGTTGGGTTGACTCGGCTGGACGAAATACACGGCTGGTACATCATGGACCGGCTTTCGATCCTTGTCGATGAGGAAGTAAAGTGTCACCCCGTGCTTGCGCAGATCCTTGACGTGGATCAATGGGGAGAGAATGTTTTGACAGAACTTGTCGTAGATCAATATCTTGTACACTTCTTCGTTGGCGGTGCCCGTGGAATTCACGGGCTGGTTCAGATTCAACATCCTGATTATGCATTCTGTGTAGCAAACAAACGAAATCCCAGATTCAATAGAATGGCAAATCTCAGCGATTCACAGAAAATTGACGAGATTGATTTCTGCTAAACCTCATGAACCCAGAATTGGCAAGATATAAAGGGCGGGAATTTCGAGCAGATTTCGGATTGACTAAGTGTTCTCAAGTAACAATGGCTAGAAAGGAGATCTGGGCAGGTGGAGAAACTAACGAAAAACCCTTACCTGTTTGCTTCTGACGGAGATTGAGAGCCATGATCGCTGTTCCAAGCTCCTAGTCGACTTGATATGAAGTGTGGCGCGAATTGGATGGCGGATCGAAGGATGAGTTGGGAATTCCTGCTGACAATTCGCAGTTTTCAGATGATTATTTGGGCAAAACTTCACGAAAAAGAAATAGGAGGTTGCAGAGCTTAAGCATGGAAAAAGCTTCGCACTTTCGCAATAGCGTTGGGTTGCAAGAGATGGGACGGAGACGGGGAATCAAGACGTGAGCAAGATTGGGCTTAGGATTGAGGCCCATAAAATGTATTAAGCCAGATCTGGATTCCCAAACAAGGCCCATAGCGACAGAAATGGTTGAACCACTTGAACCTTAGACCATCTCCATCCCTGCAATAGGTTAGCCATTTCATAAATGGACCCCACATCCACATCACCAACTTTAGCAACTATTCAATTCAACCATTTCAAACCACCTACATCCCTGCAATAGGTTAGCAATTGCAATTTATGGGACCTACTACATATTCTTTTCCTTAACAATACATTTTATATGTACAAAGTGGATAGAAAAGAAAGAAAGAAAAAAGAAAGAATTTGAGTGCATGAATGTGTGGGTCCCAATTGCTTATGTGGCATTGCAAAGAGGATTGCTTATTTAGCAATCTTGCTAAATAAGAAAGAAGTGCTACATCCTTGCAATTGCTTAAAGCTATTGCCACATAGGATTCCACCCAATAAGCAATAGCAATAAGCAATTGGATGGAGATGGTCTTACAAACCCTTCCCACACAAAGAAATGAAATCAAATGAGCGAAACTCTAAAACTAGAGAGAGAAGAACGACAACTTAATATTAATCTTAAAAGGCACAAATTATAGTTATTTCTAGAGTTAATATCTTAGTTTGGTCCGAACTATACACATACTTTCTAGTTTGGCCCGTGGTATTGGAAATTGCTATTCTGACCTGAACTATGTAGCAAACTTACTCATTTGGCCTGGAGGCGGGTTTGACCGTTAAATTAGACGGTCAAACTTGTTGACCATTAGTCAATGTCCACCTCACCTGCCACGTCAGCTTTGAGGACATAAAAAATATTTTTTTTATTTCTGAATTTTGTTTTCTTGTCATTTGCTAAAAATGGGCCCTTTTCATTATTTTAATTAATTTTTTTGATTTATTATTTTTATTAATCGAAAGAAAACAAAATTCAGAAAATAAAAAAATAATTTTTTATGTCCTCAAAGCTGACGTGGCAGGTGAGGAGGACATTGACTAACGGTCAACAGGTTTGACCATATAATTTGACGGTCAAACTCGCCTCCAGGCCAAATGAGGAAGTTTGCTACATAGTTTAGGCCAGAATAGCAATTTCCAATATCACGGGCCAAAGTAGAAAATATGTGTATAGTTAAGATCAAACTAAGGTATTAACCCTTATTTCTAGCTAGAGCAATTACCATATGAAAGTAGTCTCTAAGCATTAGGCCTCCAAATTCCAATTGCATCTCACTCTATTTTACTAAGAGAGGAAATCGCTAATTTCGATCTTCTGATGTGACTCTACAAAGTTTGATATTGCAAATTAAGAGCGTACTATGACCAATAGCGAGCAATTTGACGAGGTATGGGTTGGTAATTCCAAAGTGTCGAAACTCGACAGGCATATGAGGACGACCATCTACAAACTTCACAATCAAACTCATAGCACATTTTTGAGAAGGACAAACACATGTGTTAAAGTTGAGGTTGAGACAACCAAACAGAAGGGAAGACCATGAGGGAGGCACTCCAGGGAGGACTAGAGAGGGAGGAAGAAGAGGTCAATGATTCTTTGTTTTGATGAGCCAGTTTGAGCATTAAAAAGAAAGACAGTGGTTGAGTATACTAAAAAACTATTGCATTGCAAGATTTTCAGATTTTTTGAAGTAAGCAAGTTTAAGTATACTAAAAAACTATTGCATTGCCAATATGATAAATGCAAAAGAAAGAAACCAAAATGTTTTAGGTGTAAATAAAAAATGCATGAATTTTGGCATAGTAAATACTTTATAAAAGTCGCATTAGAAACCGTCAATAAAATTCGTACTTGAAGTTGACATTACAATCATACATGAATAACGTTCTAATTATCAAGCGTATACTTATTGATCATAAATGAAATAACTATCAAGCATAGACGAATCCCTACAAAAGACGATAGCAATCACATATCAGAGAGTCTAATCATTCGCGAGTTTAAGAACATCCAGAAAAGACACCCCATTAAGCCCTTGCTTGTACGACTGAGTCACGAAATCCTGAATCGTAGTCTCCTTGTATTTGGGAGGATTCTCTTTGCTCAACAACTCCTCTATCGGTCCATAAACTCTCGGATTCGTCGTGTACCCCACCCCGAAAAACGCAGTAGCGGAAACCCTCGGCCCGACGCTCTTCACCACCGCCCTGTGCTGCACACTCGTGAACCTGTCATTCGACATCACCTGAAGCAGATTCGCGATGTTGACCACAATCCCCTCCGAGTCGGGAACCACATCGACCCAGTGATCCCGATGCAGAACCTGAAGCCCCCCGACGCGATCCTGCACGAGCAGAGAAATGAACCCGAAATCGGCGTGTTGGGTCGTCCCCAGAGTGATCTCCGGCTGAGGGCAGGCCGGATAGTAATTGTACAGCAGGTTCACTCCCTCTGCACACCCAATTTCGTTCAGGTGATTCGGCCTCAACCCTAGCGCCTCGGACAGGAGCTCGAAGAGCAGCTCCCCGAATTTCAGTATCTCCTTCGAGTACTCTGTCACGACGTCCCTGCAGCAAGCCGGCATCTCCTCTGTTTCCGGCGGATCTGGCGCCATTTGAAACATGATTGTGTCCCTCCAGTTGACGGTCTGTACGGTGTAGATGTTCAAGTTGCTGTGGTGGACGACTTTCTTCCTCATGTCATGGCTGTAGTATCCCTTCTTTTGGTCCACATCCAGCTCGAAGAATCTGTACAGCCAGAAATTATCAGTACAGCCCGAAATTGCGATTTAAAATTTAAAAACTTACTTTTCTGGGTAGAATTACAGTTTTTGTAACTAATATAGTTGAGAATGCGCTTTTAAAGTTTAAAAGCTTGATACTTTTTACGCTTTTAGATCACCAAAACACAGTACAACGTTAAAAGGCGTTTTTGACTACGTTGTTAGTTACCTGTGGCCTCCGGCGATCATTTCCGACACGAGACTGGCCGGGAAGCCGTGGTTGACGACCTGGAAGAACCCCCAGTTTGCTGACGCGTCCCTGATCTCGGCCACAATCTTACTCCGCTTGTCGGGATCCTCTGCCCACTCGCCGCCGGCAAGGTCGATGATGGGGAAGAGGAAGTTTGGATCGTCGGGTTGAGCTGTAGGGTGGTCGTGGAGGAGATGCGTCGGCGCGTGGAAGATTCGCGGCAGCTCTGTGATACCGGCGTCCGCCAGCCCTTTCACGCCGGCTTTTGTTTCGTCGAATGCCGTCAGCTCGGCGATTCGATCGTAAGGCACGGCGGCGGAAGCCATGTCGGAGGAAAGTAAAGATGATGGAGTACTTCTCAACTTCGTCGTGTTCATCCTATATATTGATTTTCTGCATCCAATTATTGTAGTTGACTTTTAATCGATCAAGGTCAAGCTCGCCGGCCGAGCCCAATATTCTAAACACTCTTGCAACTTGCAAGGTTAGGTAGAGTATGGACTTCGCAATACAGAATCTAATTTTCTAAATATGGCTACGTCATTAGCAAATTATTAGGTTATTACAAATGAATTGTTAATTAAGATTACTTATCCATTCCTTGCAGTTTATGTTACAAACAAAGCGAAGCAGGAGAAATGGATTAGTGGCTAAACCCATCTCCGGTTCAATCTCTATTATGTTATTTGTGGTTATTATTTATATTTGCCTCGTACTTAGGTAACTCTCAAATCTTTCTCATTGATGAGTTCGAAGAATGTGGAATAATCTACAATTATTGATAGAATTGTCATCTCTAATTAATTAATTACACCTCCTAATTCAGAAGTGGGCTTTGGATGAGGGCCCAGAGAGTGTTACTTGGGCCAGATTTGGGAAGCCCGGTATCAACAGAATCGGTCTGGCAGTTTGAGACTGACGATTGCCGATATTCGTTTGAAAATCCCGCTAACACATTTGCCGCCGGCTGTAACGTAGTCCTGACCGTAGGAGGCGATCGCCGGACCTCAAGTCAGAAAAGTCCCGACCGAGATGGCAGTGCCGGCGCTCTTGAGGAACAGATAACTGGGCACTAAGGCATGGAAAAAGCATTCCAAACGCCCATTAAAAAACGATCGAGAAAGGAACCATCGTCTCCTCCATGGTTTCTTTCCTTTCCCCTGTTTTTCCCCTTTGGTTTCACCAAATTGCAAAGATTGAATTTTTACAGCATCCACTAGCAACCCAGTAAGCATTTGTAATTCTAAACTCTGTATTTCCCATCACCAGTTCCTGGGTTCCTGCTCGATCACCGCAAAAGTTCGTCCGAAACATAGAAAACCACCACAAAAAGTATTCCCCAAATCAAAGGGCTTTAGTCAGTGGCCCTGCAAAAGGAAGGACAGTAAAATAGAAACAGAGTACCTAAGCTAGAATTTAGAAGCAGAATTTCACGATTTCTTCTTGGCATTGGTTAGAATAGGATCCCAAATGCCTCTCAGCTCGTTCAGCTTCTTCTCGTAATCCTCTCTGGTAGCGCCTTGGTTCTTCTCCAGCCAACCCGAAGCTTCTCCCACGGAAGAGATCTCCACCTTTATCTTCTTATCACCCACCTGATGCAGCAGCCCATCGCCACTAAGAATGGCCTTCTTGACATCATAGATGTAACGCTCCAACTTGTCCATGGCATCCACACGTGCCTTGGCAGTCTTGTCTTTCTCTGCCATCTCCTCTGCTTCTTTGATCATCCTCTCAATCTCCTGCTGGGTCAAGCCTCCTTTGTAGTCGGCGATGGTCAGGGACTGAGACTCCGCTCCGGGGATCTTCTCCCTCGCCGTCACTTTCAGTATTCCATCCTCGTCGATTTCGAGTGTCTCCTCCACCTTCGGGACTCCCCTGAAATTAAACGAATCCAGGCTCGTGTTTCTCTAGAAAGAGTATGAATTTCTGATTACCATTGGGTGTGTAGGACCGTACCTTGGAGCTGGGGTGATACCGGACAGAACAAAGCTCCCAAGCTCGATACAATCCTTGGTCAGGGGTCTTTCGCCTTGAACTACCTGCAAAAAATGAACCTTATTATACTTGAATGAAGAAACGCGCCAGTACGACACAAAAGCGAACTATTTGAATGCCTAAACAAACCTTGATTTTAATTTCGGGTTGCTGGTCAATCTTCGTGGTGAATTGCTTTGACATTTTTGTCGGGATACGGGTGTTTCTTGGGATAACTACAGACATAAGACCATTAGCATTCTCCACTCCCAAAGTCAATGGAGTGACATCAAGCAATGCAACACCTGAGGATGAAGTCAGGATTTCGAGTGAGAAGACGTGAACAATAACATCATGCAACAATTTCTCCAGATTCAACCTAAACAATGGATGGAGGAGGGGGTTAAAAGTCTACATCCTATCATTTTAAAATGTTTTTGAAGATATGAATACACTTAGATACATGCTCAATTTTTGAAATGTAGTTAAAATTCCATCTCCACCTCATACAAATTTCGAAATTTTCTTTTTTAGGAGGTTGTAGCCTCTCTCTCAACTACACGCGTAGCTCTACCGCTAACTGTATGCACATTATTGTGTAAGAAATACAAAAAGATCACACAATTAATAAGAGTATATGTCGTCATGCCGTAAGAAATCAAAACATATTACCCACGGGTACCCAAAATATCGCGGGTGCAGGAATGAGGTTGCAAAACCTCCACTCGCATGAGTATGAGGTAGATATGGATTTCACTATTTGAAAAATGAGGATGAGAATGGAGATGGTTCAGTAAAATCCCCACCAAACTCGCTACATTACCATCCCTAGTTATAGTCTCTCTGAACTACACGCAGCTCTACACTAATTGTATGCAGTATTGCATATTAAGTAAGAGGGATGGGATTAGGTGCTAACCCTTATAGGGGTTAGCACCGTGATAACTAGCAAAAAACGCTACTAAAAACAATAAAATCACTACGGATTATTATAAAATCAATACAACATCTAAGCTAAATTACTACTAATTCAAACTAGTAGTAGTTTTCCCCTTGGTTACGACGGTGCTAACTCTTGTACAATTAGCACTGTAATAAGAAATCGAAAAATATTACCATTATGTAATGCTTTTGCATTGCCGCCGAGTTTGGCTCCCAAGACAGCAGCACCGTAAGCCACAGCTTCATCAGGGTTCACCCCTTTGCAGGGTTCCTTCCCACCAAACATCTCCTTCAGCATCTCCCTCAGCTTCGGAATCCTGGTGCTTCCTCCCACCAGTACAACCTCCTCAATCTCGCTCTTCCCCAACTTGGCATCCTTCAGCGTCGCCTCCACCACCAGCAGCGTCTTCTTGAACAGATCCAGATTCAATTCCTCGAATTTCGCCCGCGTCAGAGGCTCCGAGAAATCCATCCCCTGAAACAGGGACTCGATCTCGACCCGAACCTGGTTCTGATTGCTCAGCGCCCTTTTGGCTCTCTCGCATTCCTTTCGGAGCTTCCCTAGTGCCCTCTTATCTTCACCGATGTTGTCCTCGTTACCGTGCTTTCTCTTGATTAATTTGATGAAGTATTCCATCACTCTCTGGTCGAAATCCCCGCCGCCGAGATGAGTGTCACCGCCGGTAGCCAATACACGGAACTCCTTGCCATCCACTTCCAATACACTGACATCAAACGTCCCGCCCCCCAAATCGTACACCAGAATCTTCCTCTTGGTTTTCTTCCTCTTCCGGTTTAGGTTATTGAGACCGTAGGCAATCGCCGCCGCGGTCGGCTCGTTGATGATTCGGAGGACGTTTAGCCCTGCGATTCTGCCGGCGTCCTTTGTGGCTTGCCTCTGCATATCGTTGAAATAAGCCGGCACCGTGACAACCGCGCCCTTCACCGGCTCGCCGAGGTAAGATTCAGCAGTTTCCTTCATCTTCCCCAAAATCATGGCGCTGATCTCTTCAGGTGCGAACCCTTTTTTGATTAATCCTCCCCCGCCGCCTTCCTCTGTTTTCACTACTTCGATTTCAATGTATGGGTTCCCTCCTCTGCTGACGACCGGATACGGTAAGTACCTCAGGTCCCTCTGAACCTCTGGGTCGTCGAATTTTTTACCGATCAGGCGCTTGGCGTCGAAGATTGTCCGGCGAGGGTTGAGTGACGCCTGATTCTTGGCGGCTTCCCCGACGAGGCGCTCGGAATCGGCGGCCGCGAAGGCCACGGAGGAAGGTGTGGTTCGGTTGCCTTGGTCGTTGGCTATGATCTCCACCGTGCCGTTTCGAGCGACGGCGACGCATGAGTAGGTCGTCCCTAGGTCGATCCCGATGACTTGTCCTTTTGCTGCTTCCTTCTTCTTAGGGGCCATCTTCGCTGGAACCTCGCCGTGGAAACAGAGTGTGCGGCGACAGCGGTTGTGATTTTCTGGGGTTTTAATTGTGAAGCGGAAAAGTTGGGTCGGTGACAGGAAAATCGAAGTGGGCTTTGGTCTAAGGCCCATAAGTTGTTATTGGGCCACATTTAAGTATCCCATTGCGTGTAATTTTCCCATCAAGCTTCAACTCTTTCTGCAATGGTGATGAACATCACTTAACTCAACTGAAAGAAACAAAGTGGGAGTTCTTCCAAACAAGATCATCAAATTTTCTTAATACATTCAGAGTCATGGCAGCATCACAAAACCAGCAAGCTCTCTATAGATACTCTATACAAATTGCAACAATCATCTGGCCGGTTCTTCGGTTTTTGCAAGTTTTCTTCTAATCTTTAGTTATCCACCTACGGCCCCTGACCTGATAACCACCATAGCTCTGATCGCTGCTACTTTCTCCCCCACTCTCGCCGCTGTTATTATTGTTATTGCCTGCTTTGCGTCGATGCTTCTTCGTTCTTGTTACTCCGCTGTCGCTAACGCTACCGTTTAAGAGAGGGTCATCTATACCACGAATGACTCTCCGCGAGGTCGATAATAAACAACTGTCGTCCTTCGTTCTCTTCTTATCCTTGTCGTGCTTCCTCATATTCTCGGAGATCTTGTGTAATTTCTCGTTGAATTTCGTGATTCCCTTCTCCACTGGCTCCACTGCCTGGTTTACTGTGAACTTAACGTCGTTTACTATCTGCAGAAGGTATGAAAAGTGAATCATTCAGAACCAATCAAATGCAGGAATCACAGTAAAGATGAAGTGGCTTCAGTCAAATACTTGGTAACTGGACTCATACAGAGAGATAGGGGGTGGCTGGAGATGGCTAGATTATTAAGAATTGAAAGCTTTTTGAACTAAAATATTGAATTAGCAGTCCATTTAAATCCATCAGCCAAATGACCGGGCTCAAGTCTCCATTAAAGTAGGGTTAATAGCAACCAGTGTGGAAGCTCACAACATGGCAACGTTAGGATAGAACCGGAGTTAAGGACATTGAGCTATTCATAACAATTGGAGTCATAGTTTCATAAGAACTTACAAATCCACCGCCACCAACAACCACATCCCGAACACTTTCTTTCAGTGTCATCCCGCTCCTGATATCTTCATCAGGCTGGGGGAGGCGTAGTTTTGTAGGGCGCTCGCTGTCCCTGACCTCGTCGGGATCTATAGGGCAATCCACTGATGCATAATCTCCAAGGACAGAGATTGTTCCGGTGAAACGATCTCCCATCAGTGCATATGGCTTTGCTGGGAAAACATATAGATGAACAGCCGAAGCAATGCCCATCTGTCCTGGATGAATTCATCAGACCTGTTAGACCTCAAACATCTAAAAGAAAAAGAAAAAAAGAATCGATATATGATTTTGAGTTACCAATTGGACTATAACTATGACGACATGATATTATTTTAGCATTCATCAATCATAACCAAATATACCTCAACACAGATTATGAAGTCCTGCACACTTGACTTGAATTCCAAGGCTTGAGCAATGGGACCTCGGAACAAATTGAGGGAGGAGAGAAGAGCGATCGTGACTCCTTGCCACCAAGTCAGAAACACGATTGATTTGAAGGTTAGGAATTTATACAACGGGTTTATGTGGGCCAGCTCCTGCTTTGTTGCGGTGTAGAATTGCACTAAACAGTAGAGAGCCCACGACTGGCTAAAGTTTAGAACTACTGCCAGGTAAGGGTACCTGAAAAACCAAGGACAATAGCCTAAAACTCAGATGGTACAAAATTAAATGCTAGTCAAAGCCAGTTCAAAAAACATTGCACATTCGATAACTTCCTTGAGCACGAAGCACGCAAAACATTCCATTAAGCATTCATAATACAGCTTACCCACAGTTCCATTTGAACTCGCCTTCACAGTAGACTCCAAAGGCCTCGAGAACTACAGCTGAAATCGAAGTGAAAGCCTTAATGATCATCTGCCAAAGATAAGAGTTAACAAAGTTTCAAGCTAAGGAATATTTGGAACACAAAAACAATAGTAAACTAATGTGTGAATTTCTGGGGAAGTATGGACATACATATTGAACAATACCAAACTTCACAACTTGATAGAACCACCGGCCAAGCCTCCATGGCTTTAAGAAATACTTCATTGGAAAAGGGTGCTTAACGGTTCCCTTCTCATGAGCATGTTCTAAAAGTGGAGTCTTCGTGCTTGCTCGCCCTTGTCTCTCCATGAACTCGACTGCTCTTTCTTCTCCACCTTTGAAATGAAAAAGAGGAAATCAGGGTAAAATGCTGTCAGATGTTATCAAAATCCTCAAATGCAAACCTATTTAGCCTGATTCATGGTTTTCTGAAAGTTCTAGGAAGAGCTTCAAGGGAAATACACAGCTCAAGTGGCTACTCTAGAACTGACAAGGCTTGGCATCACATTCATCAAAAGAGGTATATGCAAAGACTACACCCTAGAATTCCTCAACAAGGTAGAAAACTCATATGTTCGGGTATGCTATCATGATACTCCAGCAACATCTCACACCCAACAATTGGCTTTAGTTGCTGCCGCAATGCAGTAATCTTATTCCGAAAAACACGATAATACGAAACTATAGAACACCTTGTGCATTGAATTTTAAAAGGACCCTGCATCATTCACAACACAAGAGCTCTTAAAGAAGTTACTACATACATACCCAAGCAAGCAACAAGGTACCTCCCAAAGCAATACATGGCGAAGGATTCATAGCAATCCCGTAGAATTCCAACATCAACACTGATTGATGGATGCACCAACGATATAAACTGTCAAAAATTTAAACCCAATTCCTCAAATTAATGATAAGAGGAAAGGGAACAACACAAAGACTGAAGGGGAGCACTCTGGCTTCTCTTACAGATTCGATGGCATAACAAGGAACCATGAGAATTACTCCAATCAGAAACTTCTGTTCCTGTAATAATGAAACAAGACTGAACATTCAGTACCGAAGTGAAAACCGAAGGTAGAGCCAAATTCACGATCGAATTCAGAAGCCGGGGAAAGGGTAAAACCTCAGGGTTCTTGTAAGCAGAGAGGTGTTCGAAGAGGAGGTAACAAGACAATGAGAGGCTGACCGCCATTAAAGCACCGGCGAGCGTGGACGCCCATATCGGAGGATAATATCCCAGCAGGTTGTAGCAATGAGACAAGAGATCCTGATACTTCATTCGCCTGCTTCCCTTATCCCACTCCTTCAACTAATTTCTGAATCCTCCTCCTCTCTGCCGATGCCCCAAAGCATAATTTTTTTTTTCCCGGGAAAATTTTCCCTCCAGCAGGGAGCAAGATCAGAACTTTCTTTCTGGTGGAATCTTCAACTCAATTGATCCGGTTAAACCCAGAATAAAAAAGGCGAGAAATTTGAAACGAATTGGGAATAGAAAATAGCGGATTTCAGTGAAAAAGACGAGAGTCGGGTTGGAAGAAACAGCACAGAGGGAGAGACGTAAAAGAGAGAACAAATTACAGATTGCGAAAAAGAAATTCAGAAAAAGGAAAAGTCTGACCAGCTTATTGGCATTCACCCACTCCATATATTTGGGCAGAACAGTAGATAAATAAATTATTATTATATAATAATGATGTGTTTTTAAAATTAGCAGTTATCCTCTGCGGAATATTTAGATAAACGGAAAAAGAAAACCATAGCCGGCGGTAGAAAACAGACGGAGAACGCGCCGGCGATTCTGAGAGAATGGTTCGACCGACTTGACTCGGAGAAAGCTGGGAGCATCACAGCAACTCAGCTAAAGGTTCCTTCTTCTCACTCAATCCTCTCATCCATTTTTCACTTCAAAATCGCCCGAGTGCTAAATGAAATCGATGGTTGTGTTGATGATGATCATTTGAATCAGAGTGCTTTGGCTGTTGGCAACCTGGAATTCCCTATTTCTGGGGTCCAACAAATGATCAGTTGGCGTTTCTGCAGCATCCCCAGTTTCTCAGTTCTCACTGCCTGAATCGGGCTATTGTTGAGCTGGGGTTTTAATGGTGGTTTATGTGTTGTTTCATCAGGATATACGATTTTGATAGGAATGGGACTATGAGCTTTGATGGTGAGATGGCAAAGTTTTCAACTTTCGTAATGAGCTTGGACATGTGGTTCCTCTTGTTTCCTGATGAACTGTTATTTTGCTTTCTTGGAGTTGCATTTGCAGAATTCGTTGCACTGAACAAGTTCCTCGCAAAGGTTAGAGCTTTCTCCTCTTGGTCTATAACCAGAATGATGTGATGATTGGAGAAATGATATGGTAATCTTTCGGTCTTTCACGAGAATGGCCCAGATGGCCCTTCAGTTGGTCTCTGGCTGTTAGAACTGCAGTTGAATGTAGTAATTGCTGCAATGGGTGCTTTTGCACTCTTACTTAGGATTTGGAAAATGACAACTGCTTGCCTGCTTTGTGAATAGTCTGTTGGCATCCAAATATTCTACCGATGTTTGATTCATTTCGAAGGCGGCTTTCCTCCTCCTTCTCCATGATGATCTACTACTCATATTCATTCTGATGCGAACCAATGTCTAATGCATGTTATGAAGAATGAAATGTATGTTGTTCATAGCTTTTGCTGATTGTCCACTTGCAGGTTCTACACGCCTTCTCAAACCTAGAGAGGTAATTAGGTTACTTTTAGCCTCTATGCAATGGCAGCTCCCTGTGCTTCTCTCTTTTTTCCCTTCTTGCATGCACAAATCACTCACCAGAAGTCCTTATGTTGCTATATAGATGCAAGAGGAAAACTCCGCCACCCTAATGTGGCTCTTCTTGATCTTATGGATAATAGACTTACCATTGCTGCATTGCAGTTCATTCTGTCTATGTATTATTCTTGATTAGATAGCTTAGTTTTTCTAGCTACGACACGGCTCTTGCTTATTTGGTTTAGCTAAGATCTACACATGGTAAGTCCGGCCTGTTGCCCATGAGTAGTCAAAACAAACGTCTGGATGATTTCATTTCTCTCTGCATCTTTGCACAGTCAGCTCGGTTTGTTATTCTTTGAAGAAAGCAATCCGATTGCTTTCGCTAACTGAGATTCAACATATGGTGATGCCTCCCTCATGTCTTGTTTGTAATGCCAGGAACCTTTTCAGTTTGTTCGATACAGCAAAACAAGGCAGAATTAGTCTTCATCTCAATCAGTTCATCTACTGCAGTAAGCAGTCACAGCAAGCTTCTGCCATCTTTCTGTAAAGTTATATTTCCTCATAATTATAGTTTTTCGAGGCCACAATCCAACCATCTGTTGTTTGTCATTGCAGCTGCCAATTGTAGAATATGAAGAGGTTACATCAGCATTGCTCCTTCCTCAACTACTGAACACTTCAAACTTGAATTGTTTGCCTTACTTGTTTGTCTTATGTAGTTTCTTTCATCAGGGTTTTGTTATGCTAGGCTCCATTCATGAACATTGTTATGGATTGAAAGTGTAGGTGTCCTTATAAGAAAAAAGAAGAAGGAAAATTCATTCCATGAAGTTATCTTCCCTCAACCATGATGATCCAAATGGGCTAAAAGGGAAGAACTTGGACTTGCCTAATGAGATTGGTGGGAGAAGTTGGCTACAACAAGAGACATATGTGTACATTTCAGAAGTTGGCTGGAATTTATCTAAATTATCATATTTAAGGCCTAATTTTGTTGGACCGTAAATATTCAGGTCTAAATTCTCATATTTAAGACCAAAAAGATTTGTTTTCCTCACATGCCGACTCATACACGATGATGGCATAAACATGTGTATGGATAAACGAGGTTAATTTCACATTAGACCATTATATGGTTAGCTTGAATTTTTAATCTCAAATTTTTAAGAATTTTGTTTAGTTCAATTTTGTTGGACCCCGCTAAACAAAGATCTAGTATACAAGATAAGAAAACGTTATTAACTTACCGGATCGAATATAGATGAATGTGATTATAACCCGACCTCGACCATAAAAAATCCGGTCCTAACCTAGTTATTTACTTATTATTAAACCCCTCTTTCTTAAGAAAACAAAATATATGGACTGATATAAATGTTCAACAGAGTTCATGGACTTCTTTTAGTAAATTTTTCCCAGGAGTAATAATAAAGAAAATAGAATTACTAGGAGGAAAAGGGTAAAAGGATAAAGAAAGTCGATATCGTACGAGAGGAAAAAAGAATATTCCGCGAAACGTAAATAACAACAAGCACACAGCAATTTCCCTTCTTCAATCCCCTCCCGAAATTGCGATCCCTTCCGCCAGATAGAAAGAAGGAACTCTTCCGATTCTCGTACAAAAACCCTCTTCCCCTCCTTTCAATTTTCTGCTTCCCGATTTTCTTTACGTCCGCGCTTTTTTTTTTTCGATCGTCCGCCGCTGATCAGTTCCGATCGGCGATTTGGGTTGTTTTTTTAGGGTTTGCTCGATTAGTTGCGAGTGTTTCTTGTGGCAGTATTGAAATAGAGAGATGGGAGCAGAAGGAGATTCGAGCAGCTCGACGAAACCCGCCGGAGGTGAGGCAGGCGGTGATCAGCAGCCCCAGCAAGGTGGGGAGGATTTGGTTGTGGTCAATGTCAGGTGCTCAAACGGCACCAAATTCACGGTGAGGACGAGCCTTGAGTCGACTGTGCAGGCGTTTAAGCTGCTTTTGGCGCAGAATTGCGATGTGGCTGCTGAGCAGCAGAGGTTGATTTACAAGGGTCGTATACTCAAGGACGACCAAACCCTTGTTAGCTATGGTGGGTTATCCTCCCTGGCTTGCAATTTTTTGTTATGATTGTTTGGTTAGCTGCTTTAACTGTGTTTTGGCCTGGATCTTCAAGTAGGGTGTTGCCCGCTATAATATTTGCTTAAAACCTGAATGGGGAACTCAGTAGATGGCATTTCAATTTATTTGGTTCAATGCAGCTATTGACACTTGGGTATTGGGTAGGTTGATGGAGGCAGATTGTTTCAGTTGGATTTTAACGCCCTGCATGTGATTGAAGGGAGAGATTGGTTGAAATGCCCTTCCTCTAATCATTTGTGCTAATGATCTATTGCTATCTGCTGTTTGTGGAGCACTTAGTATTTGCCAAATTCTGTAGATATACGAAAAGGGTGGCAAGACTGTAGGGGAAGTGATCTCTGTTTGGTCATTTTGGTCGTCTTAAAATGATTATGAGATGGGATTATGTGTAGTAAATTTAGTATATCCTTTACGTCGAGAATTACTCAGGCTTGAGATTTCTCTGACTAGACGATGTAGATTAGGTTACATCAGCACTTGCTATGCCTTAGATCTTAGTTAAACTGTGATATGAACCCTAGGCTTCATCTTATGATAGACACAACTCTTTGGCCTATCTTTCTGCTTCTGGAGGTTGACCCTTCTCCATTTGTGTTCTTTTTCTTTGGTCGAAGGTCTGCAGGCTGATCACACAGTCCATATGGTTCGCGGTTTCTCTCCAGCTTCATCAACTCCTGCATCTGGTGCTGCTCCCACAACTGCAGCTAATCCCGCAAGTCAGAATACTACACCAGGCGTTACAAGGGGTGTGGGCTCCAACGAAGGTGGGCCGTTTGGTGCTGCTGGGCTTGGTTCATCTCTGTTTCCTGGACTCGGATTGAATATGCTTGGTGGTGGAGGCGTTGGTGGAGGCGCTGGTGGAGCACCTAACTTGTTTGGAACTGGGCTCCCAGAGTTTGAGCAAGTACAGCAGCAGCTGACACAGAACCCGAACATGATGAGGGAAATAATGAACATGCCTGCTATCCAGAACCTGATGAACAACCCCGAGTTGATGAGAAGCTTGATTATGAGTAATCCTCAAATGCGTGAAATCATCGACAGGAACCCTGAGCTTGCACATGTGCTGAACGACCCAAGCATTCTCAGGCAGACCCTTGAAGCTGCTAGGAATCCTGAACTCATGCGAGAGATGATGAGAAATACTGACCGAGCAATGAGCAACATCGAAGCTTCTCCCGAGGGATTTAACATGCTCAGGCGTATGTATGAAAATGTCCAGGAACCATTTCTCAATGCAACCACGATGGGTAGTACTAATGCAGGGAATAACCCGAATGCGAACCCTTTCGCGGCACTTCTTGGAAACCAAGGTGGGACACAAGCCAGGGATGCATCAAATAACTCTTCAACAACCGGTGCAGAGGGAACCCCTGGTTTAACTGTTCCAAATACAAACCCACTGCCTAATCCTTGGAACAGTAATTCTGGTAAGATGATGGTTTATGCTCTTAAGAAGCTTCCTCTATGCAATATTCTTGCTTCATCATAGGCCTTTGAAACCTAAGCATTAGCATTTATCTTCCATATTCCCACTTGTTGGCTCATCAATATATATTGCATTCAACAAATGTGATTCTACTTTGCATTCAAGATTGTCTTAATGAAGTGCTGAGACTGGAACTTAAACTTTATCGGATTCTAATTCTACTATTGTGATTCAACTGTGCCTGCAAGATTGTATTTCTAATGAGGGGCTGTGATTGGAGTTTAAATGTTAGGTTACTGTATATGCGTACAGCGTACACACTACATGGAACTGTCATGTATATTTTCTCTTTTACATGGAACTGTCATTTATAGTTTCTCTTTTATTATATTTGAAAGGTGGAAGCCAGACGACCACTACAACAAGGTCAATTCCTGCTGCTGGGGATGCCAGGGCAGCTGGTCTTGCTGGCCTGGGAGGGCTGGGTCTCCCGGGAATGGAACAAATGTTGGGGAATATGCCTGATGCTACTAATTTGAATCAGTTCTTGCAGAATCCAGCTGTTTCACAGATGATGCAAAACATGCTTTCCAACCCTGAATACATGAACCAGGTAGTGACCAATGTTCGATAGCTGGGTTCTTTTTTGACAGTTTGTTCCCGAGTCTTTGATTGTTAGTTTTGGTCTTCAGTTGTCATACTTGATATTCTTTATTTCTGACCTGCGATGATGATTAACACACTTTCTTGCTGCGAGATGATAGACATCCCAATCCAGTTGATTAGCCAACCTGTTGTATCTTTCATATACTAACATTAGGTGTACATCAAGGGTCATTGTGGTTGTGAAACATTATTCTTTGAAGAGTTAGCTGTCATTAGCAATGTGGTCATGTTTTTGTTAGTATTTTTGCCCCGATCTCACAGCCCTTCTATGTACTTGTAACAGATGCTATCCCTGCAGCAGTCACTTATGTCTCAGATGAACAGGCAGCAGTCAACCCAGTAAGATGATCCCCCTTTTGAATACCCAGTTCTCGATTGTTGAATGCCTCGAAGATGTCATTCATTCTCTCTTGCTACGTACCTTTTTATTTTGTCATTTGCAGGGAATCTCCACAGACGGGTACTACTCCAGGTACCCAAGAGTGGCAAAAACTTTTCTCAACATCTTAGTTAACAGTTTCATCATTCTTTTGTCATGATGTATAACTTGATGTGGCAGGAATGCCTAATGCGGCTGGACTAGAGTTGTTGATGAACATGTTTGGCGGCCTTGGTGCTGGAGGCTTATCTACTCCGAACCAACCAGATGGTATGTACAACCCTCCTTCCATCTCCTTAACTTGCGTCGGTCGTTTACAGCGGAACAGACTATCGAAACTTCCTCACCTACTGCATTTAACAGTGCCACCAGAAGAACTATACGCGACTCAACTCACCCAGCTTCAGGAGATGGGGTTCTTCGATACTCAGGAGAACATCAGGGCGTTGCGTGCTACAGCTGGTAACGTTCATGCAGCAGTGGAGCGGCTGTTGGGTGGGAATAACGGACCTTGAGATGTCTTCTTGCTCTTCCTCCTCCCTTTGCGTCCAAACTGCTCGCAGCTTTTCCTCTCTGGTCTCTCTTCTTCCTTTCTTTCAGATAAAAGTTTTTGTAAGTTTTTATCTGACTTTCCAATCATCTTCGCCGTCGTCATCGATCATGTATTACTACTACCAATACGCACCCTAGACTACTGCTGTTGCTGCTGCTACATCTTTTTTCTTCAGGTCAAAAAATTGTATTTGTAAAATTGTTGAAGATAAAAGAAGTGATTATTATTATGATTTATGTTCAGAAGGTCAGGTGTTTCGTGTTAGTTTTCTGGGCTTACTTTGTGACCCCATTCTGTTGTTATCGTCATCTCCCATTCAGTTCTTCCTTGGTTTATCCAAAGTCGTTTCTTCCTTCCGGATTTTATGGGCTTTTGTGTCCGGCCCAGTGAAGGCAAACCGAAGCCCTCTTCTCCCTGTCTCCGTCCCAACTTTTCCAGCCCAAATGTTCGGCTCCAAGTCTGGCCCAATGCACCTCTTACGCGCTAACAGAATCAGACTCGTTTCCCGGGCTTTCAAAATTCAAAATTTAAAATGGGAGGCAGAGCAATCAAATCAAAATCCTACACCTACAGGCTACAGGCTAGATTATATAGTTCCCACTCTTGAGGCAGACGCCTCATATTTCTCCTCTGCTCGCGAATGAGAAAACAGAGCAAGAACGCCAGAAAATCAAAATCACTGCCCTGCACTCTGACTCCAGAATGGCCCCGGAGGTGGACGTGAGAGAAGAAGTGATCGGAATCGACCTAGGGACGACCAATTCATGCGTCGCCGTCGTTCGAAACGGCACGGCGGAGATCATAGCCAACGACCAAGGCCACCGAACCACACCTTCCTTCGTGGCCTTCTCTGCCGCCGATTCCGAGCGCCTCATCGGAGAAGCCGCCAAGAAGCAGGCGGCACTCAACCCTCGCCGGACTATCTTCGACGCCAAGCGCCTGATCGGTAAAAAGTTCAACGACCCAGAGGTTCAGAGGGACTTGAGGTACTTACCGTATCTGGTGGTCAACAAAAACGGGAAGCCGTACGTGGAAATAGAATTAGCGAAATCGAAAGGCCGAAGAGAAATCAAAAGACGGTTCAGCCCGGAACAGATCAGCGCCATGATATTGGGGAAGATGAAGGAAACTGCTGAATCTTACCTGGGACAGCCAGTGAGCGGCGCGGTTGTTACGGTCCCGGCTTATTTCAACGATAGGCAGAGGCAGGCCACAAAGGACGCGGGCAGAATAGCAAACCTAAACGTCCTCCGGATCATCAACGAGCCAACGGCAGCTGCCATAGCTTATGGTCTTAATAGCCTACACCGGAAGAGTAAACATACCAAGAGTAAGATTCTGGTGTACGATTTGGGCGGCGGGACGTTTGATGTCAGTGTGCTGGAAGTAGATGGCCAGGATTTCCGTGTTTTGGCTACCGGCGGGGACGCTCATCTCGGCGGCGGAGATTTCGATCAGAGATTGATGGAATACTTCATCAGATTAATCAAAAGAAAGTTCTGTAAGGAGGATATCAGTGAAGATAAAAAAGCTCTAGGGAGGCTCCGCAAAGAATGCGAGACAGCCAAAAGGGATTTGAGCAATCAAAGCCAGGTTCGGGTCGAGATCGAGTCTCTGTTTCAGGGGGTGGATCTCTCGGAGACTCTGACGCGGGCCAAGTTCAATGAATTGAATTTGGATCTGTTTAAGAAGACGCTGGAGGTGGTAGAGGCCACGCTGAAAGATGCCAAGCTGGGGAAGAGCGAGATCGAGGAGGTAGTACTGGTGGGAGGAAGCACTAGGATTCCGAAGCTGAGGGAGATGCTGAAAGAGATGTTTGATGGCAAGGAACCCTGCAAAGGGGTGAACCCTGATGAAGCTGTGGCTTATGGTGCTGCTGTCTTTGGAAGCAAACTCAGCGACCATGGAGATGTCAAGAACCAGTTGATCCCAATAACTCGAGTTGTTGGGAGAGGTTCAATCGTGGATCATATACCACAACACTAACACGCCCCCTCAAACGAAAGCCACTCACAAGGGCTTGAAGTTTGCACAGGTCTGAAGACAAGAATACCATGTGCTTAACAAATGGGGGTCACCGGGAATCGAACACAAGACCTCTCGGTCACAGAAGGCTCTGATACCATGTCATGAACCAGTTGCTCCCAATTAGGGGTGATAATCGGTTCGGTTGCGGTTAAACCGAACCGACGGGTCGGTTAGCCGACACCTATTAGAGGTCAAAACAGCCAACCGCAACCGCAACCGATTGTCCAATCGGTTAGCCGAAACCGCTAACCGTCGGTGTCGGTTCGGTTGGTCGGTTGACTATCAACCGGAAATTAATTGAAAAGAAAAATAAAAATTCCAAAAAAATATAAAACAAAAATAGAAATTAACAGCCCTACCTCTAGCATTCTCGATCCTTCTCCCCATCTCATTCTCTGTTACCCTATCCTCTCTCCAAAAGAAAACCCCTCTCTCTAATCTCTCCATTCCTATCGCAAGCTCTCTCTGCCACCCTCTACCCTCACCAAAATTTCAAGAAAATCATCAATTCCCGTCGACTTCTTCCTCCGCTCTGAATCCTTCCATCGATTTTCTCTGGTCTACCTTCTCTCCTTTGCCTTGGAGCGAAACCAAAAGTGGCTGGATCTTGACGTCATCGCTTTCTTATCGGCAGAGGCGACAACTTCGGTAGGGGTCCATCGGCGGAGGACATGCATGGTGCTCGGCTAATTGATCTCGACGCCATAGAGGATTTGATTGTCCTGCTGGCAAAGCCCCGGGATTTTCTCCACTCTCATCTCCACCGCCGCCGGAATAGATGGGGGAAGAAGGCGGAGCAGCGTTGGTCAGCGGGAGGATGGCGACGCGAAGAAGGCCGGGAGCGGGAGGATGGCGCTCGACGGCGAGGCTAGGGTTCAGCCGTTCAGAAATGGGGAGGCGGAGGAGAGGCGGCTGAGATTCTTTCTGATATCGCCTCGCCTCCTTCGTCTTCGATTTGGGATTTAGAATTAGGTCAGGGGAGGCGGAGCACTGGGTGGCCGAGAAGAGAAGAGGTCGCCCAAAGAGAAACGACGCCGAATTGACTGATTGGGTCGGTTTTGGCGGTTAGTCTGTTCGGTTGCGGTTTTTAACCGCTAACCGCTACACTCTGAACCAAGCTGGAAACAGGCAACCGCAACCGCTAACCGCAGCCCATTCTCGGTTTTCGGTTGGCCATCAAACCGACGGTTTCGGTTCGGTTGACGGGTTAACCGGAAAACCGGAGACCGATTAACAGCCCTACTCCCAATAACTCGAGTTGTTGGGAGAAGGTTATGCTGGATCTTATACCATGTCATGAACCAGTTGCTCCCAATAACTCGAGTTGTTGGGAGAAGGTTATGCTGGATCTTATACCACTCTCTAACACGCCTCCTCAAACGAAAGCCAACCCACGGGCTTGAAGTTTGCACAGGCCCACCATACCATGTGCTTGAAAGACAACGGTTAATATTGGGGGTCGTGGAGATTCGAACACATGACCTTTCGGTTCTAGGCTCTGATACCATGTCAAGAACCAGTTGATCCCAATAACTCGAGTTGTTGGGAGAGGTTCAATCGTGGATCATATACCACAACACTAACAGGAGATGCATTACATGATGGTAACGTTTTACTGCTTGCAGATTGACTCTTAATTCGATCATCTTCTTCGATTTCTTACGCCGAAACTGCACGCAGGTGTTACCTTGGTTGATGTCACTCCATTGAGTTTGGGAATTGAGGACGCTTATGGTTTGATGAAAGTAATTATCCCAAGAAACACCCCTGTTCCTACAAAAATGTCAATGGAATTTTCCACCAATGAAGATCAGCAAACCTCAATGAGTACCAAGGTTGGTTGAGATATTCCAATAGATAGTTTATGTTCATACTGGTGCATTTCAACCTTTAAATTCAGGTAAAATTCTGCAGGTGTTTCAAGGTGAAAGACCCCTGACCAAGGATTGTATCCACCTTGGAAAATTTGTTCTGTCCGATATCACCCCAGCTCCAAGGGGAGTTACAATAGTAGAGGATACCTTGGAGATCGACGAGGATGGAATACTTAAAGTGACGTCAAGGGAGAAGATCCCAGGAGCAAAATCTAAATCCCTAACCATCACCAGCTACAAAGGAAATTTGACGCAGAATCAGATTAAGAGGATGATCAAAGAAGCAAAGGAGATGGCAGAGCAAGACAAGATAGCCAGGGCATGTGTGGATGCCAGGATCGAGTTAGAGAGTTACATCTATGATGCCAAGAACGCCTTTCTCACTGGTGATGGGCTGGAGCAGGTGGGTGATAAGAGGGGAAAGGTGGAGATTATCTGTTCCATGAGAGCAGCTTCAGGTTGGTTGGATGCGAACCAAGGCGCTACCAGAGAAGTTTACGAGAAGAAGCTGAACGAGCTGAGAGGGGTTTGGGATCCCATTCTAATCACGGCCAAGAAGATATGAGCTGTTCAGCGAGACTAATTTCTTGCTAGCTAGGTACTGCGTTTTTCCCCTCTTTTGCTTCCAAGGGGCTGCTCGAAGGCACTGACCTTCCTTTTGCTGAGCGACTAGCAAAGGCCCTTGACGTGTGGAATACTTTTGTGGTGTGATTTTTTTTTTGGTGTTGGATCAACTTTTGTGGTGATCCAGCAGAAACCCAGTAACTGGTGATCAAAATACTCTGTCTAGAACAAGAAACGCTTACTGGGTTTGATGAGACTATTCCTCTCACCCGTCGTTCATCAAGAGTAGCCCAGCCCAATAGAAGGTACCTCGATTACGTGGGGTAATTGGGCCAAAGGTTTGTTGCAGCTTGCCTAGTAGAATGAGTCTAGTTTACGTTGGTAGAAGGAGTCAAGAGTTGTTAAGAGTCTTAGTTGTTAAGTCCTTTTCGGTTAGCATAATAAGTTGGAGTAAGAGTAGCAGCTATTAGTTGAAGTAGCTCCACATTGTTAGGAAGAGTCCGTTGTTCTTTTTATATTTAAAGCAAGGAATGAATGAATAAGAGGCAAGCTTTATTTTGGCAAATAGCATTGGTCATTCTCACCAAGAAACGAGACCCTGGCTGGATCCCGCCAAGAAAGGGGATCAATCCAAGCTTACAACTTCGATCCTTATCACTTGGTATCAGAGCCGGTGATGGGCACCCACGCTAACCGCATTGAAGCTCTCGAAGCCGCCGGTCAGGAAAATGACCAGAAGCTCACGGCAATTCTCGATCAGTTGGCCACCTTACAACTCGCCGTGACTCAAATAGCTCAGGAACGCACCGCTCGGACCGATGACCGGCGATCTGCCGACGGGGATGCATCTGTTAACGGTCAGCCACGACGCAATCAGATCGACGACGAGGCGGATCGTGAACACCAACCACTCTTTGGAGCTAAGCTAGCTCGCCTGGAGTTCCCCACTTTCGCAGGGGAAGATCCCACCGTCTGGTTTTCAAGGGTGGAGCAGTTCTTTGAATTCCAGGCAATCCCGGAGGGTCAGAAGGTGTCATTGGCGTCATACCACCTGGAGGGCGACGCCAATCAGTGGTGGCAATGGCTCCGCCGCACCTACAGGACGGATGGCATCCCAATTACCTGGGAAAGCTTTTCATCGGAACTGTGGGCTCGATTCGGACCATCGGCTGCTACGGGGTTCGACGAAACCCTATCCCATATCAAGCAGACTGGCTCGCTCAAGGATTACCAGACTGAGTTCGAACGGCTCGGCAACCGAGTCCGAGGATGGTCTCAGCAAGCCTTGGTCGGCACCTTTCTGGGCGGATTAAAAACTGAAATCGCCGAAGGAATCAGAATTTTCAACCCCCGCACCTTGAGGGAAGCAATCAGCCTCGCCCGCGTGCGTGAAGAACAACTCACGCGCTATCAAAGTCCTCCCCGGAGCTCCTATCGGTCTCCGGCGGACTACACGACGCCGCCCAGGCACCGAACGCGTCCCACCTTCGAGCCCACCTTTGTGGCGCGGCCCCGGCCGGTCGAAGCACCACCGCAACCCCGCAATCGACCCCAACCACCACCGGGCGGACGACGCATACCCTATGACGAGATGCATCGACGTCGGCAAGCGGGGCTTTGCTTCAATTGCGACGAAAGGTTCACCCCCACCCACCGATGCGCCAAGCCTCGCCTGATGATGCTGCTGGACGAAGAAGAGGACGAGGCGATCGGGGTTGAAGAGGCCGAGGTCTCCTTCAACGCCATCACGGGCCGGGCCGGGGGAAGAACAATGAGGGTTTGGGCCCAAGTAGGCCGAACTCGGCTAGTTGTGTTGATCGACAGTGGGTCAACCCACAACTTCATCAACAACAAAACCGCAGAAGCCCTCCACCTTCCAGGTTCATCCGTCGTTCCCTTCAACGTCCGAATCGCGAACGGAGCACCCCTGCAATGCGACGGACGGCACGACGACGTCGTGCTCAACATCCAAGGTACCCAATTCCCAGTTACTCTCTACGCCATTCCTCTCGCTGGATTCGACATCGTCCTCGGCATCCAATGGTTAGAGACGTTGGGTACCGTTCAAAGCAATTGGCGAACTCTGGCCATGGAATTTGATTGGGAAGGCCGCCGACGACACTTACACGGCATCACCAACTCCAATCCCACCGCGACCACCCTTAAGTGCATAATGAAGGAGGATTCCAGTCTCCGCGCCATCTGTCTTCCCCCGCCAGCTGAAGACCCACTCCGGCCGGTACCTCATGATCTTCAGGACATTTTACGCGACTTCGGCGATCTGTTCGATGAACCAGGCAAATTATCCCCGCGCCGCCAAATTGATCATCGGATTACTTTGAAGGAAGGCACAGAAGCCATCAATGTTCGTCCTTACCGATACGCGTACTTCCAAAAGGGAGAAATCGAGGACCAGGTTAACAAGATGCTCGCTGCCGGTCTCATCCAACCCTCGACCAGCCCTTTCTCTTCTCCGGTGTTGTTGGTCAAAAAGAAGGACGGTACTTGGCGATTCTGCACCGACTACAGAGCCCTCAACTCGGCTACCATCAAAGACCGATTCCCTATCCCGACCGTCGAGGACATGCTCGACGAGCTTCATGGTGCCGCCTACTTTACAAAATTGGACCTCCGCGCAGGTTATCACCAGGTTCGAATGCATCCCGCCGATGTTCACAAAACCGCATTCCGCACCCACAATGGCCATTACGAGTATCTCGTGATGCCTTTCGGCCTATGCAACGCGCCATCCACGTTCCAAGCGGTAATGAACGAGATTTTCCGACCCATGCTCCGCAAGTTTGTCTTGGTTTTCTTCGACGACATTCTGGTCTATAGTCCCGACATGGCGAGCCATCGAGATCATGTTCGCAAGGTCCTTCTCACCCTACGCCATCACCAGTTCTTCGTCAAATTCTCCAAATGCGCCTTCGGCCTCCAAGAGATCGAGTACCTCGGCCACATCATCACCAACCAAGGCGTCAAGGTCGATCCTAGCAAGATACAGGCCATGATCGACTGGCCCCAACCCACCACCGTCACCGAGCTCCGCGGTTTCTTGGGACTTACCGGCTACTACCGCAAGTTCGTCCGGGACTACGGCTCCATTGCACGGGCCCTTACCAATCTCCTCAAAAAGGGCCAATTCGACTGGTCCGCGGCGGCGGAGGAGGCGTTCCACCAGTTGAAGACTGCCATGTCCTCCACGCCTGTACTCGCCATGCCCAACTTCAACGCCCCTTTTATAATCGAGACCGATGCCTCCGATGATGGGATTGGTGCGGTACTGATGCAGAACGAGAGGCCCATTGCTTACATGAGTCGGGCTTTGGGCAAGGCCAAGCAAGCCCTTTCCACCTACGCCAAAGAAATGCTAGCTATAGTCACCGCTATCCAGACCTGGCGGCCCTACATTTTGGGCCGAAGATTCATTATCCGGACCGACCAGCGTAGTCTCAAGCACCTTTTGGGCCAGCGGATTACTACGCCCGAGCAGCAGCGTTGGGTTTCCAAGTTGGTTGGGTTTGATTATGAAATCACCTACAAACCAGGGAGGGAGAATCAAGCAGCCGATTCTCTTAGTCGGCGGCCACCTACCTCGACGCTATTTGCGGTGTCCATCCCTCACACAACTCTTTGGGAAGACCTAAAAGCTACGGCTCTTACTCACCCGTATATGAAGCGGATCACAGCTCGGGCGAACTCGGCAGCTCCCGGTCCCTACTCCATCCGCAACGATATGGTTCTATATCGTCGGCGCGTCGTCATCCCTCCCAACTCGCCACTGGTCCTGCAGCTGCTGCGTGAGTTCCACTCGACCCCGGCAGGCGGCCATTCGGGCATTCTCCGAACTCAGAAGCGGCTGGCCTCCCAATTCTACTGGCCAGGAATGCTCAAAGATGTCCAAAGCTTCGTCAACGCTTGTGATGTCTGTCAAAGAGCCAAAGCTCAAACTCTCACCCCGGCGGGTTTGCTCCAACCGCTGCCCATTCCAACCCAGGTATGGGAAGATATCTCCATGGATTTCGTTGACGGTTTACCAAGTTCAGGGGGCAAGACTGTGATTTTGGTGGTCGTCGACCGCTTGACCAAATATGCTCACTTCCTCGCTTTGTCCCACCCCTACACTGCTCGCACGGTGGTCGATCACTTTGTGACGGGGATTGTTCGCCTGCACGGCCTCCCTCGCTCCATCGTCAGCGACCGCGATCGGGTTTTCATGAGCCACTTCTGGCAGGAGTTGCATCGCCAGTCGGGGACTACCCTGCTGATGTCCTCGTCCTATCATCCGCAAACCGACGGCCAAACTGAGGTCGTCAATCGCTGTGTGGAGCAATATCTACGGTGTTTTACGCACCAGCAGCCGAAGCGATGGCTCCTCTCACTTCCTTGGGCTGAGTATTGGTATAATACTTCCTTCCACAGCTCGGCAGGTATGACGCCCTTCCAGGCTTTGTATGGCCGCCTTCCTCCCGCCATTCCCTCTTATCGGCCCGGCGCTACCGCTGTCCATGAGGTGGATCAGTCTTTACTGGACCGCAATGCACTACTCAATGAACTGAAGACAAATCTGTCGGTGGCTCAGCATCAGATGAAGCAGAACGCGGACTTACGGCGCCGCGAAGTCCAATTCACCGTCGGCGATTGGGTCTACTTGAAATTGCAACCTTATCGGCAGCATACCGTGTTTCGTCGGGCGTCCCAGAAGCTGGCCTGTCGTTACTATGGGCCTTATCTAATCACCGAATGTATCGGCCCCGTCGCCTACCGCCTTGGATTGCCCCCTGGTAGCCGTGTTCACCCAGTTTTTCATGTGTCACTGCTGCGCCCATGTCCGACTCCACCTGCTGCGGCGAGCTCGGAAATTCCTCCCATTGCTGATGATGGGGCGCTACTCCTTCAGCCCACAGCCATCCTGGATACCCGTTACACCCGGCGCGGTTCTCGCCTTGTCAAGGAGGTCCTCGTCCAGTGGCAGTCTCTTTCTCCCGACGATGCTACTTGGGAGTGCGCAACGGAGTTCTACGATCGCTTCGTTCGGCTCGACATTGAGGACAATGCCGTTTCTTCTGCGGCGGGCAATGATGAGACTATTCCTCTCACCCGTCGTTCATCAAGAGTAGCCCAGCCCAATAGAAGGTACCTCGATTACGTGGGGTAATTGGGCCAAAGGTTTGTTGCAGCTTGCCTAGTAGAATGAGTCTAGTTTACGTTGGTAGAAGGAGTCAAGAGTTGTTAAGAGTCTTAGTTGTTAAGTCCTTTTCGGTTAGCATAATAAGTTGGAGTAAGAGTAGCAGCTATTAGTTGAAGTAGCTCCACATTGTTAGGAAGAGTCCGTTGTTCTTTTTATATTTAAAGCAAGGAATGAATGAATAAGAGGCAAGCTTTATTTTGGCAAATAGCATTGGTCATTCTCACCAAGAAACGAGACCCTGGCTGGATCCCGCCAAGAAAGGGGATGAATCCATCCCCTTTCTTGGCGGGATCCAGCCAGGGTCTCGTTTCTTGGTGAGAATGACCAATGCTATTTGCCAAAATAAAGCTTGCCTCTTATTCATTCATTCCTTGCTTTAAATATAAAAAGAACAACGGACTCTTCCTAACAATGTGGAGCTACTTCAACTAATAGCTGCTACTCTTACTCCAACTTATTATGCTAACCGAAAAGGACTTAACAACTAAGACTCTTAACAACTCTTGACTCCTTCTACCAACGTAAACTAGACTCATTCTACTAGGCAAGCTGCAACAAACCTTTGGCCCAATTACCCCACGTAATCGAGGTACCTTCTATTGGGCTGGGCTACTCTTGATGAACGACGGGTGAGAGGAATAGTCTCATCAGGGTTGCTTGTAAGTACTGTAAAAATTCAGTCTTTACAATTGGTGGAACCAAAGGGAAAAGTGGGTGAAAGGAAAGGAAGTAACCATGGAGGATGATGATTCCTTTTTGAATGGAAAAGCTTTTCCCATGCCTCAGTAATCAGTACCCTGTATCTTTTCCTCAACAACGCCGCCACCGGTCCGGCCTCCTTCTCCGGCATCCAAGTCGGCATTTTCCTGATCCACGCTCCGGCGGTCGCGACCACGTCCACCGATATTGTATCTACGGGCACAATATCTGGCCCAATAATACAATATGGGCCGTGATCGAAGCCCAATTCTGGATTCCCTATTTCCTTGAGGGTAAATGACACTTTTGGTCACTGAGATTATTAAATTGTGTCATGTTTAGTCACTAGAAAAAATTAATATCAATTTTGGTCACTCGAATTACCGAAACTGGTCAAATTTAGTCACTCTCCCGTCAGTTTCCGTCCAACTCCATTAATGTAGTTGGACGGAAACTTTTGGGAGAGTGACTAAATGTGACATGTTTCAGTAATACGATTGACTAAATGTGACAATTTTCAATAATTCGAGTGACTGGAGTTGGACAGAGGCTACAGAAGAGTGATCAAATGTGACCTGTGTCAGTAATTCGAGTGACCAAAATTGATATTAAATTTTTCTAATGACTAAATATGACACGATTTAGTAATCTCAGTGACCAAATATGTCATTTACCCATTTCCTTGACTTAGCTATTGCCTTTGCTAAATTTTATAGTTTGGTGACCGTTTTGTTATAACTTCGTAATTATGTGATCATTTTAGCATCTTCGGGGTAAAGTATTCTCCAGAAGTCGGAGGACTAAACAAGATAAAATCTCCGACTTCGTCTTGTGAGAGGAGAGAGAGAGAGAGAGCCAAAGCATTGTTCTTTTGAAACCCCTCTTCCCCCTTTCGTTCTCTCTCTTCTTCCCCCCTCTTTCTCTCTCAGCACCTCTCCGAATTCAACGAGCTAAGCTAATCACGGTAATGCTCTTCGCTCTCGGTTTTTAAAAATTTGTATCCTTCTTCTTCGTGTAACCCCGCTTTTGATTTCTCTTTCCCCTTCCCTCCATTTCTATCGAAGATAACTTCCTGCTGCATGCATTTATTGCAGGATATGCTCGATTTCCTTCGACAATTCTGCTTCTCAATTTGATGGGTATTGTTTATTTCAGGTGATTACCACAACCCATCTCTTGAAATGTTGTTGCTCTTTCCTCGTTGCCCAATTTTGTGTTTTATTTGGTTCTCTGGTCTGTCACAATGGGCAGAACTTGCTCTAGATGTTTAATTGCATTTGGTTAATTGATGACAAACTTGCCTTGGCTCTGGGGTGATGTGAACTGATGCTAGGATTGAGAACGATTGCGCTAAGATGGCTTCAGTTTAGACTTATGTACCAATCAATTGATTTCCATGGATTATGATGTTTTGCGCTTAGTTGCTTAACATTGTTCATTTTCTGTGCTATCTATATGTTCCATGGGTCGATTACAATCTGTAATGGTGGTTGTATCTGACCTAATCAGCTGAAAACTACTGTTCTTTGGTTTAGTTTTCTGGTTTTGGATGATCGATCTCTTCATTCTGCAAGCAATGGCATTGAAGCTAGTTTGGTTCCTGATGTATCTTTACTTCAAAACTAGGCTAGTAGTTGATCTGAGAGAGCTTGAAATTCCTTGGATCCGTTCCAATCTCAATCTGCAATGGTGGTTCTATCTGACCTAATCAGCTGAAAACTCTGTTCTTGGCTTTGGTTTTGTGCTTTTAGATAATCGATTTCTGCAAGGAGTGTTATTAAGGCTCGCGATGTGACTCCAATTTCTCAAATAGGCTAGTAGTTGATCTGAGTGAGTTTGAAGTCACTGACTTCCTGATTACTGATTAGTCTATTGCAAACTCTTAAATCTTGCAGCTTACCGTTTCCTTGTGTGATTTGAATGTTGTTGTTGATTTAGAACAATTTATATCTTTCTTTCAGATGGTTCAGCAAATGATAAGCCCCAAATTTGGTGAGTATGGGTTGGGCAGAACCGAGCAAAACTTCTCTGCTGGTGGTGATAAGCAGTTTCCAGTTGCTGTAAAGAAAGCAGCTTTGAGAGATGTGCAGAATCAAAATAGCGGTCACAACTTCATCAGCAACTCTCCATTGACTAAGAACAGTGGAAAAAGTATGGATACCATCAATAAGGTTTCTGGCACCAAGAGGCCCTCACCTGAGAGTCCAATAGCACATAACCAGTCCCCAAATGGTAATGCTGCAAATGCTCAACTTGTTTATGTGCGTCGTAAATCCGAAGCTGAGACAGGCAAGATTAATGCTAACTCCCCTAATCGAAAACAAGTTGGTCACTCTGGGGAGACCAACCAGTTAAAATCACCGACTAAGGAGCAGCCAAAGGTTTCCCGATTTTCGGCATTCATGGCACCTATGCCCGTCAGCACCACGATAAGTACATCAGGGAAGCCCTCAGTTTCCCTTCCTATAACACAGTCTCCTATAACACAGTCTAGTACTCCGAGATTTGCATCGGTGCAGTCCACTTATCATCCCTTTCCTGCTTCTTCTGTACCTTTGTCTGATAATGGGAATGCGATGAGAGTTATGCACTGGGAGGAACGATACTGCCAGTTACAAGCTCTGTTAAAGAAAATAGATCAATCAGATCAAGAGGACTACATACAGAGTAAGTTTTTCTGTCAAGTCGAATACTTTGCCATGTTAGTTCTTCAACTGCTTCTAACGGCGTGTATTCTGTGTTGCAATCTCAGTGCTCCGATCTATTTCCTCAGTTGAGCTTAGCAGACATGCAGTCGAGTTAGAGAAGCGATCCATTCAGCTCTCTCTGGAAGAAGGTAACGTAAACCAGTTAGAACACGTGATGTCTGCTGCCATTTCTGAGAAAAGCTGTGTTTTAAGAATCTAAACACTTTTAACCTATTGGTTATTAGCATCACTTGGCTGGTTATTTACTTAAATGCTCCAGCTATCTATGTTTAGTCTTTGCCTTGCTTACATTAATTGCATGTTTGATAGCTCGAAAAGCTGCTAATTCTACCAATAAGGAAGTTTTGCCTAACAACCCCAAACTGTTTGTGAAGACTAGTCTTGTTTTCTTTTATGCATCAGAACTATGCTGCTCCACATACTAGTTTAAGGAATCACACCATTAATCGTCGCTTTAATCTCTGTCTGCACACGGTTTGTCATCAGAATTGAGCAAGCACTGTCCATAAGGTAGAAGATATCCACAAACATATAAATGCATCACTCTCCATCTGCATAATATTCTTCTATTGCTAGCCGATTAAGTAGCCATGTGCAGATAGCTATAAAGGCATCGTAAAATGACTGGTTCAGTCTCAATGTCGATTGTTTGCTGCAGCAAAGGAGATACAGCGGGTGGCATTCCTGAATGTACTGGGGAGAAATCTCAAAGCACCACCCACAATTCAGCAGAGGAAGTGACGCGAAAGCCAGAGGGAAATTAAACCCTGTGTTCATACGGATCTCTTTCGGGTTATATCTACTTCTACTCTTACCACTATGGTCATCATCATCCTCTCATTGTTCGATCGACAATTTTGCAAGCTGTTGTATGCTAGTTCGCTGTGCTCTCTATTTGTCTTTCGTAGTTCTTAACTGTTAGCTGTTGTATATTGAGGAAGTGAGTGAGTTATAAACTAATTACATCCAAGGAGGAAGCCATGGGGGGAAAGTAAATTAGGCAATTTCCTAACTTGTTGAGACAGATTTCATGACTAGTTGAAAGCAATTTGTATCAGAATTCAGAAAGAAGTGTTGTTATGGATATGAGTGAATCCTTATCTCATGGACGGTTTTTTTATGTCGAAAATTCAGACATGATATTATTTTTCTGTAATGAAATGGCAGTTATCATTTTCTCGTTTATATGATAAAACTGTCAGCAAACTCAAATGACAGTAACTTAAATTGTGTAAAACCTGCTGATATTTTTCATACTGATCGTTGTTCTTGCTCTGCTCTTAACTTGTTTATCAAGCAACCGGTGATAGTTTAACCCATAGGACCGATCTGAAATCTTAGTCGGGACCATATTGAATATCATTTGAGTTGTAAAAAAAGATGAAATGAAGTCCAAAACTTTAATCAAAAGTATTTATGATCTGATTTAGCAGGAATGTGGAACTTGCAAAAACCATAACCCTGAAATTCGTCCCACCACCTTCCTTCTTCCACTCCCTCATGTTCCCAAGTTAGCTTACTGCTCAGGCCATGACCAACGAAAAGGTTCAAACTTTCTTTTTTCTGGGTACCAAAGCTATGAACACTGATGGGTGTTCTTTCGGATTTCCCGCCCAAATAGGGGCAGTATGGTAAGTGGACTAGTGGAGAAGGTGGGTCTCTTTGGATAATCACGAACAAACGACCATTACCCCCCACTAACTGTAAAACACAGAGCAAAACCGCCATGTTTGTCTCTCTCTCTCTCTCTCTCTCTCTCCCGATTGGTAACCGTTTCTCTCTCTATCAAACAAACTGCAACTGATAATCTCCGAGTTTCCTTCTTCTCCCCCACCACTACATAAGCAAAGCTTCCCCCTTTCTTCCAATTTTTTTCGCCCTTCTCCACTTCATGATTACACCTCTGTTTTTTCCTGCCTTCCCCTGTCTTTCCCAGATCGATTCGAGATAATGACCAACCAGAACAACGCGAATTCCAACCCCATCTTCCCTTCTTCTTCGTCGTCTCCTCCTCCCCCTCTTCCTCCGCCGCAGATTTCTCCTCTTCCGAACCCAAACCACCATCGGAAGAAGCGAACCAAGTTGAACAAGATTCTGCTCGAACCCAATCCAATTCCCCCGCCAATTTTCGCGAATCCGTTTGGTTCCCCTCTTACTCCTTCCCCTGCTTCTGCTTCTTCTTCCTCTTCGTTGCATACCCACAATGCGGCGGAGTCGGCGGCGAGTGGGAGTGCCAGGAAGAACAAGGCGGGCAGCAGCGGTGGAGGGAAAAAGGCGGACCCGTCAGCGCCGAAGGACAAGCCGTGTACAGAGTGCGGGAAGAAGTTCTCGTCTTGGAAGGCTCTTTTCGGTCACATGAGGTGTCACCCTGAGAGGGAATGGCGCGGGATTAACCCTCCCCCTAATCACCGCCGCCGCCCTACGCCGCAGACTCCCCTGATGATTTTCCCTCCCTCGCCGCCGCCACCGCCGCTGCCGCAGACCCACATTGGAGGGCCGCGTGGGGACCCACAGGAGATGATAACGATGACCGCAGCGGATCACGAGGTGGCTGATTGTTTACTCTTCCTGGCCAATTTCACCGCCGCCGTCGCCGTCACCGCTTGCAGTCACCAATCCCCTGTTTCAGGAGAGCAAAATTGGGGAAACAGAGTAGCAGCCGCTGTGGAAGGAGACGAATTTGGCGGCGCAATTGTGCCTTTCCACCATCACAATCAAGAAGAAGGAGAGGATTCGGGTCGGTTCGAGTGTTCAAGTTGCAAGAAGGTGTTTGGGTCACACCAGGCGCTTGGAGGGCACCGCGCCAGCCACAAGAACGTCAAGGGCTGCTTCCAGAACGACACAATTGTCCCCGCATCAGACGATTCTAGGCAGAACAGTTCATTAGCCGAAAGTTGTGGTGATGCGCATTCGGCGGCGGTTGTGTTGGCGGGAGTCGACGGCGGCGGTTCCGTCCCCGGCTATCACCAATGCAGCATTTGCCTAAGGGTTTTCCCGAGCGGGCAGGCGCTCGGCGGGCACAAGAGATGTCATTGGGACAATCAGAGAGGTATTCAACAGCAGCAGCAGCAGCAGCAGCAAGGGTCGCAATCTTCGTCGTCGATGTTGATGGTGGACCTGAATTTGCCGGCGCCGGTGCCAGCACCGGCTGTGATTCTCCCGCCGAAGGATGAAGGGCATGAATGCTCTTCGGCCCCAACTCTGGACTTGAGGTTGGGCCTTTGATTTTGGGCCTTCATTTTAGGGCCTATTTTTTCATGTGTGGATTGTGATCACTAATCATGTTTAGTTTAGACGATTAGAAGATTGTGTTAGTGTTGCGTGTATATTTTTTTGTTCATATAATAGTGTGATTAGTGAGACTGTAAAGCTAATTGCGCCCTTATTTGAGAGGCGGATTAGGTTAGTGTGGTTGTATAAGAAGATTATATAGGTGTAGTTTAGTAGAAAGGAAAAGAGTGTTTTCATATATGGTGAAGTTTGTGATATAGACATTCTTGTGTTAATAAATAGTGAAGTGACTTTTTTTTTTACCCTCAAATGGTTGTTTGTTTGTGGTGAATGTTGGTGATAATTATAAAAGTGTGATTATGTAAATGTTGTAAGCTTACTTGCCAGCCAGGAAGCAACCGCGAGCGCGTATTGTCAGATTTCTATCCTAGTTTCTCTATATTGATGTTTCGTCCGGTCGCTTATCAAATTTTATATGCTTAGTTCCATTATCTAAAATAAAATGTTATATGCTTAGTTAGTCGAGTTTAAAACAAAGGATTATATGTATAATTCAAGTGAAAGGTTAACTAATTGGCAGGTTCCAAGCATCAAGTTTTCATGACTTATAATTTAGTTGTACTAATTGATGATCCACCTCTTCTTTCACTCTATCATTTATCATGATGTTATGAGCTTTAGTTGGTTTGGCTTTGTGAAACTCTAATTGGAATATTAAGTATTAGCTACCATCAAATCCTAGTTGCACTGATTGATGTTTGGTAATGGTGGGTGTGAGGGCCGGGGCATTACAATTAGTTGAAGGGCGTAAGCACTTACGAACTCTTGATTAACATATAATTACAATTAAGCTGCAAATGGGGGGAAAGAAAGAGGTGTAGCTTAGCTCGATATTCTTGAATGTTTCCTTGGAAGGAGCAGTGACCCAATTTCAGCCAATGATCATCACAGCCGTTTCTCTATTGCCAAAAGCCAACAAAGTGACGGCTGGGTTAGAATACTATGAGAATCACATGACATGAAAAACGTGTATTCTAGGAGAAGGTACACTTTTGGTCTTGTATTTCGAGCAATCTCATGTCAGGAATAAGAAAATCGTTTAAAAGTCGAAAAAGGAATACGATAGAATAATTAATTTTCGGTTGTGATCAGGGGCAGAGCTACCTTGTGGCTCGGGGGGCCCCGGCCCCCCCCGAGAATTTTGGAGATCGCGTGTAAAAATATCGGGAATTTTGAAAATTCTGAAGAAATCAACTATTGTAGAATAACAATAACGTGCAATAATGAGCAGCAATGTTTGGGTCTAGTCTAACGGAATGCAGCTGCTTGGTATTTGTGAATACCTAGTACCATGGTTCAATCCTTGCAGCAACATTGTTTTTTTAGTTTTCCTACTTTGGTTGAATTTTTGTTTAAAATTTAGATTGATCACTTAACTTTTGCACTTATTCAAATACTTTTTAATTTCAAAGTTCAAACTAGATAATGAAATTTTGGAGCTTATAATATTTTTCTAATTTAGATAATTAAATTTTGGAGTCTAGATAATTAAATTTTGAAGCTTATGACTCACAATGTAAATATTTTCTTAATTTTTTTTTACGAATATTATACAATAAAGTCCGGCCCCCCGACCACTAGATCCTAGCTCCGCCCCTGGTTGTGATGTCATCAACAATTGACGAAAGTATAGATAAAACTTGTTTGTGCACATATGCTTGTGCATTATTATCGAGTCCAATGGATCATTTTCTTGTTGAAAATCAAAGTGGGACAAAACTTGAAACTAATCGAATGGTTTTGTACAAACTTAGCTCAAACTGTTGTCGACCTTAATTATCAACCAACCAATAACTCCAATTGATTGGGGAGAGGAATTTGCACCGGCATGCCATACGTTGTGATTAAATGATAAACTACTGATGTTTGGAATCACGAGCATTCGAAACACAAAATATCTTAGTTATCGTAGGCTCTGATACCACGTCATGATATACTATATCAGCGACTCGAATTATGGAGATGTTGAAGAATGAATCTTAATTCTAACATGTTTGTCTCCCCTTCGTTCCAGAGAGCTCGATATCAAATCCATCCAGACCCGGTTGAACTATTGTCAAACCCTTAACTAGCAATCAACCCCCTACTAATCTCACTAAACAATAGGTGACCACTATTAATTAAATGAATCAATTCCTTTAGATGTTACAAACTTGGTTTGAACGGCCATGACCCCTATGTTGATAGTGAAGTTCTTCACTGAGGTTCAATGCATGCATCTATCTCTTTACAAGACAATTCAATCCAAGTCAATAATGACACAAATGGGAATGTAACTCAATGACGAAAGTGCGGCAATATGCCTCCGCAAATCTTCCAAAAGACTGATTAACAAAGTGTGATTTAAATATAAAATTAAGTGATCGGTGGTTGAGGAATAAATCAAGTAGTAGGTAGGGAATTAGCAAGGACTAATGACAAATAAATACAAAACTATAAGTGAGTGGTCATTTGTTTGATGGATTTGAGATTCAAATTTCAAGTTTGACGAACTTATTTTAGGTTCGTCGTTTGTTGAATGGTGTTAAATGTAATAAGTCATTCATGGAATGAAGAAAGTTTACTTTTTTCATCGTTTATGAATCTGTAGAGATTTGGGTTCTGCACATGTCAATTATTTAGAGAGAGATTAGTTATCGTCAGCTGTGCAGTGAGGGACGCAAAGTCTCGTAACTCATTCACAAAAGATTCTCTCTTTTGAGATCTCGTTCACGTCTGTAAAGTTGTTATCCGATTGTTTAAAACACAGTGAAATTCAATCGGAAAAAACTCGAATGAAACAACGGGTCGCATTGTCGAGGAGACAAAGTAGAAGTTTATTTGCTTGATTAGGTTTAGAGGCTTCCTTGATGCCATCATTATCGTTAATCTTTTGTTTAAGGGGAGATGGGAAAGTGATTAAAGAAGATGCGGAAACACGACTCCTTGAGTGAGTGAGTAAGCATCTACTAGGCATTGTTTGTCTTCTCTATTAATAGTTGGATTTATTGGTTTGGTGCAACTCTCGTCATCCATTCCTTTCTCTATATAATAAGTTTGTCAATTTTCGTTTGTGTTGATTTATGCCATCATCCGCCATGCAAGATTTCTTTAGTGACACTAATTATTTAAGGCAAATTCACTTGGCAAAATTATTATTTCGTTTGTGTTGATTTATGTTAATTTTCACTTTTGTTGATTTATTTGGATTGACCTTGTTTCAACAAAATCTATATTAAGGAATAATTTTGTGTACTTTGGCAACGACATTTCATTAATTACGTCCTTTAATTTTTAGTTTGGAAAAGGTGGAGCATCCGTCATCGTGCTAGTCTATAGTTTGGAGTCTTTTTTTTTTCTTGAGGACAACGGTTCTTGATGCCATATCTCATAAACTATCTCGGTCCCAAATGAATATATGAAAACATCTCCGAAATCTTGATTTGACGAGCAAGTTACATATAATGAACATTGCAACAATGGGTATTGACTATGTGTTAGAGTATGGTATAAGATCCAGCATAACTTTCTCCCAACAACTCGAGTTATTGGGATCAACTGGTTCTTGACATGGTATCAGAGCTGGTTTGGCCAAGTGGTCGTGTGTTCGAATCTCCACGACCCCCAATATTAACTCTTGATTAAATCACAAGGTATGGTGGGCCTGTGCAAACTTCAAGCCTATGAGTTGGCTTTCGTTTGAGGGGGAGGGGGCGTGTTAGAGTATGGTATAAGATCCAGCATAACCTTCTCCCAACAACTAGAGTATGGTATAATAAGATCCAGTATAACCTTCTCCCAACAACTCGAGTTATTGGGATCAACTGGTTCTTGACAGGGGCGGAGCTACACATGGTCTCGGGGGGCCTCGGCCCCTCCGAGAATTTGAAAGTTACGTATAAATTGTATCGGTATTCGGAAATTTCGTATTACATAAAGAAGATAATATTATTACTTAATGTGCAAATATGGCAAAAGAAAGCAAGTTAGTCTAGCGGATGAGACTATGGTAAATCTATCTTCAGGTAATGAGTTCAATACCCAGTATATTTTGTTGCTATTTTAATTTTATTTTCAGTTTTAATAATTTCTCATCCATTTTAATTATATGGTCCTTTTAATTTCGGTTTCAATGTGGTTCTTAAGTCATTTTTAAGTCATTTAGTTTCAAAATTAGGTTTGATATGGCTGAATGATCAATTTCCTCAAATCTTCTTAAATATTGGGTATAATAATATTAAAAATATATTTTATTATTTTTATCGTCGTTTTGAAGTAACATAATAAAAAAAATCCGGCCCCCCCCCCCCCGAACATTGAATCCTAGCTCCGCCTCTGTTCTTGACACTATGATATCAAATTCTTGAATAAAAGGACATAAATAATCAAATCTTAGTTTCTTCAATTACCCAAAATAGAAGTATTTAAAAATGTTATCAACAACAAAAATGTCAAACTACAAATAAACAAGGAAAGTCATCGGAAACAATAATGAAAGAAAGTCAAAATCTAATCAAATCAGTTTATTTATGATTTTGGTTGAAATTCAATCAATTTAGTTGTTCATAATCTCAACCAAACTCAAATCATAGCCATTATTAATTGATTTGTTTTGGCCACATACCCCAGCCGTGGTTTTGGGTATGACGAGATAATTCATTTCTTCCAATTTCAGTGTTGCAGACATCATCAACCAGATAAATTGCTTGTTGTTGACTTTCCATGGCGACGTGCCTTTTGGCTATATATTAAGCACATCATTATGCGCCTAATCTCCGCATAATCATAGCTTTTCACGCTTTCCCCAGAGTGGATTCCATTCCATTTCCACCCCCTTCCCCTGTTTCCCTTCTGAATATTCTCTGTTTCGTCCTTTCCCCTGTTTTTTCACTTCTGGGTTCAGGGGAAACCAGTGATTCCCGCCATCCTTTGATTAATCGAATACATGGACGGAAGCCTGTTCAATCAAGATCCCAATTTCAGCCAATTCCCATACTCATCTGAAAATTCCATGGACTGGGATTTCGTGGAGGAATCGTTGCTGTATCAGGAGGATTGCTACTGGCCGGAGGAAGTCGACTTGATCAGTTCGCACTCTGCCGCTGTGGTTCTCGACGAATTGGACCCTCTGCCTGCTCTCCAGAGCTTCCAGATAGTCATTGAAGAAGAACCCATGTTGGAAACCGCCATCGCGGCTTCAGAACAGGAATTTCCTCGCGAAGAGTCCATCTCTCCGAAGCAGGAAGAAGCAGCTTCCTCCTCCTCCTGGTTCGCTTACATGGTGGATGCACAGGAGAAAGGGCGATGTGGGTATTTCTCGTGGGGTTGCGTTCCAAAGGAGGAAGAGCTCAACGAGGAATTCAAGGTCTTAAATCAGTGGAAAGACGAGCAGGAGTTTGGATTCGAAGAAAATAACGGGATTTTACTGGGATGGAGCCAGCAGCGTCAGCCAGAGGAAAACAGAGCTCTTCGCGCTAGGAAAACAGGGCAAAGGTACAGCAAGAAGAGAACCAAATTCCATCAGAACATCAGCTTGCAAGTCTTGAGGCAGTACTTCGCTGGGAGTCTCAAAGATGCCGCCAAAGACATTGGAGGTAAGTTTCAGACGCGAAAGATTCTAGCTTGAATCCATTTGATCAATTGATGTTTTCGCGTCAAATTAAAGAATTTCTCTGTTTTGTGATGTTGCAGTTTGCCCGACGACGCTGAAGAGGATATGCAGGCAGCACGGGATCGAGCGTTGGCCGTCGAGGAAGATCAAGAAAGTCGACCAATCGTTGAAGAAGCTTCAACGAGTGATCGACTCTGTTCATGGAGCTCAAGGCACCATCGAAATCGGCTCATTCTACTCAGCTTTCCCTGAATTGAATTCTGTTGCTGATAACATCGCCACCCCTGAGGTACTTTCTCCAGTAACATCACAACAATCCGCAGATTCCAAGCGACCAAAACCAGCTGAAAGTAGTGTCACAGGTGTTTGTGAAAATGCCGCAGTGGCCTATAAACCCCCTGTTGATCATCCTGGAACTGCCATCACAAGTGTTTGTGAAAATGCCGCAAAGAACTATTTAAAGCCTGCAGGTATCAGCAGTTGCAGGAGCTCGGTGGAAGGGGGCGGGTTTCGGGTGAAGGCGAGCTTAGGAGACGAGAATGTCAGGCTGGTGCTACAGCCAAATTGGGGATTAATGGAACTGAAGCAAGAGATTGGAAAGAGGTTCAGCGTCGATGATCATGTCAAGTCAATTTGCTTCAAGTACTTGGATGAAGATGGAGAATGGGTTCATTTGAGCTGTGATGATGATCTTGAGGAGTGCAAAGAGATGCATAGGTTCTCAGACAGGAATGCCATTAGGGTTTCCCTCCATTATTACACCCAAAGCTTCTGAGAATTCCAATGGTTGGAGTTGGTTTGATGATGTTGAGTTTTTTTTTTGTTGTACTCTAGCTAGGGTCTTCATCAAGAATATGGCCCATTTTGTTGTGTCATTAGGCTTGTAATTAGTGGAAACGGTTTGATTAATGAAAAATATACTATGTACCAATTTCTCATGCTTTTATAAATTGCATATTAAAAAATTAATGGAACAAGCGATATTTGTATTTAAGATTGCAAATCCGTGTAATTCGATCATGAACAAGACGTTACTACTATGTGTAGCTAAAAGATCTTTTGATCCATTCTGAAGTTATTTATATTCAACGATGTTTTCTACGAAGTGAATAACTTTAATTGGGTGGAACAATGGTCACTAACTCCTAACTTGAGCTCAAAAGTGCTTAATCTCTGTTCATATGAATGGATTTCGAACTCACACCTCATCACCTTAATGCTCTTTGCGAGAAGAAAAGGCTGCAACTTTGTGACGGTCATTTTCACTAATGAACAGCACCTTGAGCTCATTAGTTAAGTAATTTCCAGTGTTGTCAAAACCGGACCGGATAATAATCCGGATTAGTGAGAGGTTTAAGGTTTATCGAATAACCGGTGATTAACCGGTATAAAACCGATCATCAAATCGGTGGTATATAATATTTTTAAATAAAATACAAATGACTTCATAATGCATATGAAAATTAGTATTAGTATTTAAATTAAGAATTCTATATCTTGTACACATATTCAATTGAAGAATTCAATATTAAAAAAATATAATTGTGGGAGAGATGGGTTTTTTCCTTTTTTGAGTTTTGATCAATTATGTAGGTCAATTGAGAAATTAAATGGAGAGAATTAAAAATAAGAAGAAGAGGGGAGGAATTATCGAGAAGAATAGTTGGGGAAAGAAGGAGAATAGAGAAGATAAAGATGGAAAGTAAAAATAAAAAATGGTCGGTAGGTGCATGAGTCAACAGAAAAGTGGAAATATTGTAAAAAAAAAAAGGGAATATAATTATTCTCCTTCCCTTTTCATTCAATTTTCGGTTTTGAAGAGAGGAAGAAAATTTTCCATAAAAAGTTGAATAAAAAATGGAAGGTGAATAAATGACTGCAACAGCTGGTTCGGGTCTTCCGGGTTTGCCGGTTAGCCGGTTGAACCGGTCAATACCCGGGCGGCACATTTCCTTTGCGTTTTTAGGCAATCGAACCCGGATGGCTAGGCGGATCCGGTTTTCCACGGTCGGACCGTCCGGTCCGGCCCGGTTTTGACAACAGTGGTAATTTCCATACATTAATTGGTCCGAAATGCGGCGATTCGGCCATTGAAACAGTAGCTTTTCACTTGGTATAGCTGTTGTTATACATGAAAGTACCTTGGAAAATTTCCCTTATTCTACACCTGTAATTTCATAATTTGAATGTAGTAAATTGGTGTTTTGATACTTTGTCACACTTGCTGTCCATTTTCACCAAGTGGGTTGAAACAGACAGATCATCTTAGTGAATCTGGACCAGGTTTTGTAGGAATTGGAACCCAAGTTTTTGTTTTTGCTGTTGATTTGCCAGACTTAACAAGTTGGAAGAATCGATCACATAGTAAAGTTTTAATTACTATGGCCTAGTATTGTTTTTTTTATGGATGATATTAGTTTACTTTTTGTTATAATTACAAAAATAAGATAATTATGTGTGTTTGAAGTTATGTCGTGTTTTTATCTATTATACGGTCGAATAAATTTAAGATGAATAAAAGATAATGTTTTTTTATCTAAATCTCTATGTATTTTCAAAAGAATCATTAAATTGTTGTGTTCTAAAATATTATAGTTGAAATACTTACTGGCATGTTAAGATCCCTTAGAAAAAAATGGAGTCTCGTTTTTCATACGCCACATTCTGTATATTCGAACCCTAGAGTCAGCAAGGAAAAAAGTACGAAAATATCTTCCGAAAAAAATCCCTCCAAATTGGTGCTTAATAGACTTTATCATCGGTGGAGAATAGTCTCAGACCGAATCCGTGATTTGTAGCCTTGGAAATTTAAGAAAAATGATCTTTCGAAACAATTGCCTGAAATTTGTGATGGTACCCCTTTGGAATCTGCTAAAATTGGACTCGAAAAAAATCCACCCAAGTTGGTGCTTAATAGACTTAATCATTGATGCATAATAGGCTCGGGTCGAATATGTGATCTGTAGCCTTCAAAATCCAAGGAAAATGGATTAAAAAAAATTGCCCAAAATATGTGATGGTACCCTTTTGGAATATGCAAAAAATGGACCCAGAAATAATCCGCCCAAATCGGTGTGTAATAGACTTAATCATCGATGAAAAATAGCCTCAAGCCGAATCCATGATCTGTAGTCTTCAAAATTCAAAGAAAAATAACTTTTCGACACCCAAAACTTAAAAAAAATGACCTTAAAGAAAATTCGCTCAAATCGGCGATTAATAAATTTCATCATCGGCTAAAATGCATATTGGTGTTGGGTACTTATGATCACCACGTGGAGAAGTTATGCATAATCATAATTAGTTCACTGTACGCGTATTAAGTAATATTCTATACATGACATAATGTTTCAAGTACTAAGCCTAATTAATTTTTGCCTTGTGCCCATACACTTTGTACGTACAATCGCTCAGCATGTGGATGCAATACTGGTGAATAGAAATATAGAGATTAGAATCTTGGCTTTCTATGCTAAGTGAATATTAAAGTATATACTAATCTTATCCTTTCAAGATCCTAAAGGGTAAGACATCTGAAGTAGTAGTCTTAGCTTGTTTGCCCACCAACAGCCTTAAACTTAATAATTCATTGAGGTTTCAATATGATTAAATCAACAATTAGGACTGAAAAAGGGTGATCATGATGCCGATTATTAAGCTAATAATCTGCGATTAATTTCAATGAGAGCATGCGCTGCATCTTTGATCACTAATAATTAAGTGTTATATATGAATTATTCTAGAGCTCTGACTTTAAATCTATTGGATCTTTGGTTCCTTGCTAATGCTCCCAACGATCGATATGCCACAGATCAGCAGTCAGCACTTCATAAACCACTATTATTGGAATCCCAATGGAAACCCCCAACACCTAAAATCAAGATAAAATTGGGACCGGACCGGGTCAAGACCGGACTGTATCCAATCCTCGGACTGAGACCGGATCAATTTGGTCCAATTTAACCGGACCGGACCGTATAGCTACCCCTACTTTAAATCATATGTCGATTTTCTTCCAACGGTACTATCTCGCTCGATTCCGTCACGTCGGAATCCTTTTCTTATGATATTAGACTAATTTCAAGCTCAACACTCTTTCTCAAAGTTTACTGTGCTAATTAATTAGGTAGATAGATGATTGATCACTCACTAAACAAACCTTCCTTGACATGTTCTGCAGGTCACTGATGCACCTAAAAGTAAGAAATTACTGCAAACTAAAAGTCTTGATGTTTGTGAACCAACTACCCATTTGAGAGGACAAACAATGAGGCGATGATTTATAATTTATGGGGTTGCAGTTGTGTGTTAGGTGCATAATTGTGTATGGATTTGGGCGGCTTCGACTCCAGCCAAAAGGTTGACATATATGAATCTGCTGATTGGACTGCTTTTCATTTTTGTGAAGCTATGTCAGCAAGAGGGTATCTTAGAAATATAAATAAATGATATTTTAATAATTTAAAATAGTGGGAAATAATTAAGCATCTAAAAGAAGAATTTGAAAAAATTGACATTTTAATTTCCCATTTTATTAACAAATTATAGAGAATTTTTTTCCCATTCAAAGTGTTAAAAAAAATTATAGTAGCTTGGATGATGATGGCATGGGTGGGTTCTATTTGGATTCATTTCTCAACCCTAACTGAATAATTGAGGCACTGGATGCATTATTTTATGCATTTAGGGTTAGGATGTAAGCTTGACAATGACTTAGCACCATAATTATATGATCTTTGTCACTCTCATTGATGATGTGCTAAGCAGTAGTAGTAGCTGCATAATTCATGTCTAGAACTGTTAGGCCATTAAGTTTCTCAACCAACATTAACTAGTTTGGTCTGTAAAACATTATTTATTTGATGATAAAGAAAATATAGAAGAGAAAAACCACCGGTGGAGATGGTAAAAGCGTAGATTTAGATTCAGAAGATTACTAGTATGAATTTTGGTAGCAAGTATCTATGCATTACTGATTATCCCCTTGGTGGTTATTGACAAAGCTAGTTGTGTGTATATCTTAACTGTCCTTAAACGATTTCTGAGTGCTCGTAGGAATCGGTTTATCGTCTTTAACAAATTTTCCTCATATCGCTCATTTTATCTTTGTAGTTTCTATCAGATTAATCTTAACAACTCATGGTTGCAGCCAATGGCTGGAGATTCAGAGGAATCAAAAGTAGCTACCTATATAAGCTTTGATATTCTGTGACTCATCGCCACAAGTTTATGGATCTCAACTCAGATTAGTTCTATTGGCAGCTGACCTAATCAATACTCATCATCCTGTCCAATGAAATTGTGACAAATTTTACATAATGATTAAACAAATAAAACAAAAACAAAATTGAGAAAGAATCTTCATTATATTTGATAAACAAGCAATAGAGTTGAAAGGTAAAATTGTTTAAGAAGAATGAATCGTGAGGGGATCTTCCTCTGATTCTACTGGTGGCTCGTGCAAGCCACAACACCTTTAATTAATTTCCTTAACACTTGCAATATTTTTTTGCTAATTATAACCAAACACTTGTCATTAGAGAACAAGCTAAGTAAATTTTCAAAAAAAAAAAAAAAAATTGTGCTAATTACAAGATCAAATTCAGATAACTCTGTGCTTCACATCACCATTTACCACAACTTGCTTATATCCAACAGGTCGGCTATAATATAATATTATTCATTTGATTAATTAATAAAATGCATCCATCAAAATGACGTAGCATCGGCCCACCATCTATTGAAAAAATCGTGTTAAGAGGCTTGATAATTTGTATTATAGTTAATTAATTGTAGATTGTGTGGTTTCCCCTGATTCACATATAGCTTAGCTGATGTTATCAAAGCTATGGTGATTAATTTACTATATAACTATAATTTTGTAACCAAATGGCCTACTAAATCAATTGTATATAATAATTAACAATAAAGTAAATTCAGTTTGAATTGTTTTTGCTTAGCTCAATGCTCTGTTGTGGAGATTGTTTCCTCTAAAGCAACAAAAGTAGGCTATGTTGCTTTTCCTTTGAGCAATGAGATCACACCTCTCCTACAATACTTTTATCTCATCATCCAATTGTATCTTATTTTGAATCATACAAATTCCTTCTGAACTAATATATAAAATTTATTTACGATCTGATCCAACCGTTCGACTTATTTGAATTGAACTCGTCTCACCACAAGACATTTAGGCATTCGATAGCTAAAAAATCACAATCTGGTAACTATCTAGCTAGTATTTTAAGATTCATTATTGAACAACTTCGTTTCATCCGTGAAGCTTTGCTTATCGAGACATGCATGCATGTCTTGTCGTTGGACTTCCAACAGTGGCGGATCCAGGGGGTGGCCACCCCGGGCCCCGGCCCAGCCCTCCCCTTGATCCAAAACTAGTATAGTACTTATAAATTTTTTCGTTTTAAGATATTCGGACTAGTGTCAATTTAAAATAAGATTGTGTTTAATTTGAAAAATGATTCAGATGAACATATTCAAACCATAACACTTAATTCAGCCTATAAATTCTAGGCTCAATGATTTTCTTCTAAAGAAAAACGATGAACCTAAATTTCTTAAAGTCTAAAACGTAAAAGAGAAATAGAAATATGAGGTTTGTTCCCTCTAAAAATTATTAGAGCAGCTGGTGAAAATAGGGTTGGACATTCAATACAAATTGATTAGTCAATTGATTTGTACAGTGTTGACGTTGCTCGTTTCAACATCTACTACAGAGAGAACCTTTTCAACAATAAAACATGTGAAAACTTATTTGCTTAACAAGATGAGCGATGAATTTCTCAGTGATTGCTTAACTATTTCATTTGAAAGAGAGTATATTATTGGTATGGATGTAGACTCTATTATTGATGAATTTTCTATATTAAAATACAGTCGTGTAAAATTGACATTATAGAAAAATCAGAGTTGTTTTTCTTTTATGGTATTTAGTTTTTTAATAAAATCCGGCCCAGTGCTCTACTATTTCCTGGATTCGCCGTTGACTTCCAACTCGACTTTGATAATTATCTCCTTCGTCTCATTGTATATACCTTCTTTTTCCCTTTTCTCTATATTAAACCTCTCCCAACAAATTTTCTCCATTTTTCAAGATGTATATAATTACACTTCATACCGAATGTCCGGACACAAAAGTCTGTCATTAATCGTTCACCGAACACCTATAAGCTCGCCCCCCTGTGTAAGAGTCTAACACCTACAGAGATGGTTGGTGGTACTTAATGTACACAGTTCGACGCCTCGCGATATCTGTCCTTTTTGTGTTGTTAATGGTTGAGAGTCATAACCCCAACCATCATTTATCAAAATCATAACCCCAACCAAGAGCCAGATTTGACTGCATAATGTGGATTCCATCATCTATCTCTAGACCAACAGTATTGGTACAACTATCACTTAATCACGATGGAGTCCTATACTTAATTAAGAAAACACACTGATCAGCCCCCGTCATTAATCAATTGATTAGGCCATATAATAACGATTAACCATGTTAATTATGAGATGATGAGACGCGGCGAATTGGAGATTGAATGGAGAGAGAGAGAGAGAGAGATTCAATGGCCCCTTGGGAATCTTAGAGGGGCAACGTAAACCCTTAAAACTTGATCCCAGATATTAATGCTATCGTGTGGGACTGTTATTGCTGTGGCCAATCTCCAACTAACTTGTAACACATTGGATTATGACTTTTAAAAAAAAGGTTGTATATTCTTGAATATTCAGAAAATATTATTGATACAAACTTATGAAAGGTAGGTAGATCCATGCATCAAGGGTTTTTTATAGGAAAATGGGGATGATCTCATCACCTCAATTGTCACTTTTGATGGACCAATCCTATTAAGCTTGTTTTGTTTGGTGGTGTGGGTACATAAATGAAAACCAAAGAGTGGAATCTATGGAAAACGAATTAGGCTATTATGATGGGTATAGGTCATGTGTGATTATTACTCGATTGATACAGGTTAATCGTTTTTTCTTGTGTTTTCGATTGTTGGATTGATATGATGGTGATTCTGTTGGATCGAACAATACATTAGTTCATACTTATAGATTATAATGATCTTATCAGCATAATAATGGAACATCAAGACAACTATAACTATAAGAATCACAGGAAAATTCATTTGTCACTCTTCTCGAATGCAAGATCTCTCGTCACTATGAAGAACAAATTGTATGAATGCATTTATGAGGCCCTCATTTGCTTCTTTCATTCTAATTTTTAATTTCCAGATTTTGAGGATCACATTGTCACATGGAATGGGAATATATCTACACTGAAATCAACAAGTATGGGCAAAGCACATGCACATGCATAGTGAAAATGAATTTTATCAGCTTGTAAGAGAAGAAAGCTTGTTTAATTCCAATCCTTGTTTATGAGGGATACAAATCCTTTTCTTCTTCTTGGTTCAGATTCTTTGTGCTCAAAGAGAATCTTTCTCTCTTCATAAATGAAGGCTGTATAGTACATTAGGAATCCTTTTTCCCGAACTGAAAGCTCCTCTTTGCCTCCTATTCCATGCATGGCATTGTTCCCAGCTTTTCAGAGAATAAGAATAGGCTGTAAAGCCAACCCACGACATGAACAAAAGAAAATGCTAGGCGATCATGAGAATATCTGAAGAAAAAGGCAGAAGAGAATGACAACTACAAAAGCTGGCGTCTTTAACTAGCTAGCAGGTTGTAGTGATAACAATTTCATACTCGAATTTGCATTCGCTCCCGTACAATCTAATCAACATATGTTATTATTCAACTCCCGTCCTACCATGATATGAGATCTTCGTTTTATCTGGTTGTTTTCACTGTTTGCATCAAACAGATCGTGAGTAAAATGATTCAAACGTGATACTTCTATAACTTAATCGTTGTAGATTTAAATTACGGTGAAGAATTGCCCACAAGAGGCAGAGGAGTGTGGCCAAAAGGCTGTGCAATTAGCAGAAATTCTTTGCCTTGTGGCACCCATCCACTGATTTTCTTGTTTTGTTTTTGTGTTGGATGGGTCCTACGTTCGTTTTGTGTTTGGGAGGAAAGATTCTTCTCATCTACTCCCACACAAGGGGAAGAAAATGGAAAAATAACGCAAGCAAGCACACTTGATATGATACCTCATGTTAAAATAAAGAAGAAAAAAGGATAATAATAATGGAAGGCCAGAACCCAATAACCCATTAATCTTTTCAGTTGATGGTTAAAAAGCTCCCACCTTTGGCCGAGCCCAGAAAGGTTTTTCCTCTGAATTCTCGGTTTCCTGCTGCATCTGTTCTTCAGAGAGATTTTGTTTTGCCAATTTAGGGCTTGTGGCACTGCCAGTTCTAATGGTTCATAAACTGATTTCTTCGGCAAGAGAGTGAACTCTTTCACTTGGCAAGGTGAGTTCTCTTTGGATTCCTTAATATCCCCTCTCCACAGTTTCTCAACTTTTTTCTCTATGTTCCTTGAATTGGGTTCTGGCTACTACGAAAAGTATTAGAAACCAGTGATTGTTGTTCGAAAGTTACTTCCTTTCCCTTGCCCGATGGGTTTTTCATGGCTGTGAAAGTTTGTAATTATCTTCAAGCTTTGCCTGCTGATTTTGCCTTGTGGTGATGGTTTCATGCAAAATCTCCAGTTGGGTCCTTCACAAAGTTGTAGTTATTGATAGAAAAGATAAATTCTTTCTAGTTTGTGCTGTTCTTGTGTGTGACTTGGTGTCAATACTTGGATAAACAGTTGGTGCTCCCTCTAAAATGGATCTGTGATTGCAGTTGAACTTGAACAAACCACATCACTTATTTGATTGAACGATGTTTCTGCGAGTGGGGCGTGATGGGTATTCGGATATGAGCAATACAAATCCATCCTGGAAGTTCCTCTTTTTGTTTTTCATCTTCACTGTTCTCTTGTGCTTTGGCTCATGATGATGAGCTCTGAGTAGTTAACCAATTTTCGGTTTGGTTATAGCTTTGTTGCAAACTCTGAAGCAGAAAGGTTCTGGATATGGATGATGATGGTGCTAACTCTGCCTTTGGGAACTTCCCATCCATCACTAGCACCATGGATTTGGATTTCATGGAGCAACTCTTTGATGAAGGATGTTGGATGGGGACTCCTGATGGATTCACCTTCCCACAACAGCAGTACCCTCCGTCTTCCAACGATCTATATCCCGCGTCGAGATTCTTCCCCTCCCTTGATCCCTTCACTGCTCAACAAAAAATCCATCAAGAAGCTGACTTTCATGATGACTCAACTGCCAAAGGAGGTCAACCTGTTGAAATGGATTCCAAAAACGGTTGCAGTGTCGCTTCGGTCACGTATGTAGCAGGATACGAGAGCCATTCTTCGATCAAAGATCGATTGGAGTATGCTATAAAGAAGTTGAAAGAGTACACAGAACATAGAGATGTCCTCGTGCAGATATGGGTGCCCATATACCACGGAGGCAAGCATGTTCTTACCACCGAAGACCAGCCTTACTTCCTTACTCCCAAGTGCATGAACCTCGTTAGCTATAGAGATGTCTCAAAAGGATATCACTTTGAAGCTGAGGCGGATTCAAAGGAGTTCGTCGGGCTACCCGGTCGAGTTTTCTTGGGAAAGTTGCCTGAGTGGACACCAGATGTTCGGTACTTCAAAACCGAGGAGTATCCACGAAGGAACTACGCGGCTCAATTAAGCATCAGTGGCTCTCTTGCATTTCCTGTTTTCGAGCGTAACTGTGGGAGTTGCTTGGGGGTTGTTGAGGTTATAACAACAACCAGAGATATCAAGTACCGCCCTGAGCTAGAGAATGTCTGCAAAGCTCTTGAGGTTGACTCTTTTGTCTTCTTTTCCAGTCTTCCATTGGTTATAAATCAGAAGCTTAAATCATTCAAATCTTGAGCACAATGGTGTTGCTATGTTTGTTTTGCTTCTCAATTTTTTATCTACTTTCAGCAACTGTTACTCATTTGATTCCGTGACTGTAATGTACTTTTTATACATGCTTCATTTACAGATACAAATGTGTTCTTATTGTGAATCTTGCTACTATACTACGGTAAAACGGCCAAACTGGTATGCTTTAAGATAGAAAGAACAAACTTAATGAAAAAGCCCATTAAATCTTAGACACACCTCGTGTGAAGCTCGATTTCGTACTGAATCTTGTTATTTCCATGATCCTATAGCATTCTTGAATAATTGAGAATTGCATCCCGCTGCTTCATGAAATAGTTTCTACATTCTTGTTTACTCCCCAAGGGATAACTTTTACATTTTATTGAGGTCACTTATATTATACTCTTATTTGCATGGTAACCTACTGCATTCTTACCTGATGAGCATGGTTTCGTCTGCAGGCTGTTGATTTAAGCAGTTCAAACAACTTTGTCCCTCCTACTCCTAGTGTAACGGTAACCACAATTATCACTGTCTGACTAACCATCTTAGCCTCATTTATAACCAACTTATGAGGTATAACTTGGCTTTCTTTATACAGGGCTGCAAGGAGTTCTGTCAAGCAGCAGTTCCCGAACTGCAAGACATTTTGGCATCTGTCTGCAGCACTCACAAGCTACCTCTAGCGCTAACATGGGCTCCATGCTTCCGACAAGGCAAAGGTGGATGCCGCCATTTCGACGAGAGCTACGCATGCTACATCTCCACCGTGGACTCAGCCTGCCATGTGACAGACACAGAGCTCCACGAGTTCCATGCTGCTTGCTCCGAGCAGTACCTTTTCCTCGGCCAAGGAATCGTTGGCAAAGCATTCACAGTGAACAAACAATGCTTCGCAAATGATGTCACGGCATTCAGCAAGTCAACATATCCCCTTTCTCACCAGGCCATGGTGTTTGGCCTAAACGCTGCTGTGGCAATCCCACTACAGAGTCAAATTGGCGGTCCAGCCGATTTCGTGCTGGAGTTCTTCTTGCCAAAGGATTGCCAAGAGAGAAAAAAGCTTCGAGACTTGCTTCCCCTCACTGTTCAGCAGGCTTCTCGTAGCTTACGAGTTGTGATGGAGAAAGAGGTAGAGGAAGAGATGGACCCGCGAGCTTCAGTTCCAGAAGAGTCTTCTTGGATAAGCCGATTTATGGAGGCTCAAGGGGAAGGTGACACTTTCTCTTTCTCAATGGAATGTGCAAAGGAAGAACCTCAAGAGGAGTTTAAGGTGATGAAATACTGGGAGACCAATCAGAAGGAGATGAATGCTAGGCCCGTCTCTACTGAGCATCAATCATCGAGCAGTATTAGAAGGACGAGTGAGAAGCGACGAACCAAAACTGAGAAGACTGTTAGCTTGGAAGTGCTAAGGCAGTATTTTGCTGGAAGCCTTAAAGATGCTGCCAAGAGTCTTGGTGGTAAGAAGCATATAATGCTGTAGTTAGTTACTAACTCTTTTTATCTCAGGAATTGAATTATGAAGATAGATTAATTAGGGGTTAATTACGCAGATGTCACTACTCACTAGTCAATAAATTATGATTTGATTACTCCATTATATCTAGCATTTTTGCCCAATTCCTTGCCCCAGTACCAAACTATACTTGAAACTGTACTCTCTATTGTATCATTTACAACTAAACTAAACCATAAACCTCTTCATTTGCAGTGTGCCCCACTACTCTGAAAAGGATATGCAGGCAATATGGGATCAACCGATGGCCTTCTCGTAAGATCAAGAAGGTTGGCCACACTCTGAAGAAGCTCCAACTTGTAATCGACTCGGTGCAAGGTGCAGAAGGATCCATTAAAATCGGTTCCTTCTACACTGCTTTCCCTGACTTGACATCTCCAAAGGAAAACAACTGTTCTCAGCAACCAGAGAGCAGCATGCTCAACAATGTAACAGCAGCAGCAATTGCTTCGAAATCAGCATCCACATCCAGCAGTCAGAGCTCAGGTTGCAGTTCATGTCAGCAAGATGCATTATCTCCTACTGAAGACCCCAGCAGTTTGCTCAAGAGAACACACAGCGACGCAGAATTGCTTGTATTAAACCATCACGAGGAGCTAAAGCAGCACCATCTGCGCAGATCACAGAGCCACAGAACGCTCAATGGCTGTCCTAAACGCGGCTGCAGGAGGTTAAGAGAAGGGAATGGTTTCCGAGTTAAGGCTTCCTTTGGAGAAGACACGATCCGATTCAGCTTGCCATCCAGCTGGGGGTTTGTGGAGTTGCAGCAAGAGCTGTTGTCCCGGTTCAATGTCGATACAACCTGCAGAATCGACCTCAAGTACTTGGACGACGATCACGAGTGGGTGCTTCTCACGTGTGATGCGGATCTCGAGGAGTGCAAAGATGTTTACATGTCAGAACAGCGTCACACCATCAAGCTTTCGGTTCATCGGTCGACGCTAAGAGCTGCGGCAACAAGCTCAATTCAACAATGAATGAATAAATCAGTTCTCTCTCTAGTTGATAGAATACATAGTGTGGATATTGTTTCTCCTTGCATGAGTTTGTGTGTGTGATAGTTCCAGAGATCTACCCATCATGTGGAAATACAAAGGTGGGAGATCATTTTTACTCGGGGAATGTTTGTAGTTCTGATAAAACTGCCACTGGGATCTTGTTTTATAGATCACTGGCAATAAATCCATAGTAGGAATGTATAACAGTAGAACAACCGTTGGTTGTTGCATCATCTTATGTTTACCAGGTTTGTATATTAGTAAAAAGCTGGCATCTTTACAGTAAACATGTCGATTTTGAAGCAAAAGAAAATGAGAAGTGAGAAGCAAGGAAACATGAGCAGCATGAAATGGAAGAAGACTGAAGTAGTAGAAGTAGTGATGTAGTTGCTTTAGCAAGCAAAAGATTATGGTTCTCTGACTTGAGTTGAGCCCTTCTGACATTTCCACCATTGGCTGATGCTTCTCTCTTTTGGGTGGCTGTGGCAGCAGCAGCAGGCAGAGAATCTTACCATGGAGAGGAATTGTCACTTGTCATTACTCACTTCGTTCCAACCGGGCAAAAAGGTCCCACCTTGGGTAGAATTTGGCAAAACCGTGCAAACATAAGCAGCGGTCGCACCGGTCGACCGTTTCGTTCGTTTCTTCGTATATTTAGAGTCGTTGGATCAACTCGGTTTTGTGCATGACGTCACAAGTATTTAAATCGAATGATCGTAAACACGCAAAGGTAATCTAACCATATCATATCAACCTATACAAACTGTTCTTTCTACAAATTTGAAGTTGTGTTGTCAAACTTGATATGCTCAAGAGCTTAGTTAATTGGGCTTAAGAGGTCTGTAAAGTGTAAAGAGTAAACCACATGTTTCAGATCTGAACGGGCCGGTGGTTAAAGTGGGCCTCACTTGCTAATTTAAGAAAGGTCCAGTTAGGTTGAAGAAAGCCGAAAATCCTAAACGCGGGCCGACCAATAGCGACCACTCGTTCTCTTATCCCAAGGCACCCGGCCAGCTTTTATAACCAAAGCCAAACTTTTTATAACCAAACCCACCCAGCTCGATAATCTTCAACTAGTTTGGTAAGCTTGTATTTTGAAAAATTCTACGAATTTCTTACAAAAATGCTAAAAAGATGTTACTTTTATATGATTAATTTGTTTTCTTGAAAAGATTATTATGTGATGTTATCTATTTTGAATGCGAATTTTTTCCCGTTGCTATTCAATGAGAGGATCCACGAGAGAGGAGGTCTGCTATAATATATAATTTTGTTCTCCAAATTAAAATTAACGATGATACAGCTAGTCCAATTTGTGGTTCGCTGCATGGGGTTTCAATTTCAAATATGTTGACCTATTGTAGGAGTTGGTGTCCTGCCTCTTTTTCTTGGACTAATTAAAGCTTGTTTAGTGTGTGATTAGTAGGTGCATTTATTAGTGGTCATTTCATAAAATTGTCAGGTTATTGGTCCCTACTCCCTAATCACCCTGATAATTACGTTTGTGGCTGTGAGACAACATTGAGATTGAAAGAAGAAAAAAAACATATCAATTGATTGTTGATCAGATATGTGAATGAACAAAATAATTTGAAAAATGAATTAAACCAAATCCATGGTATTTGTCGATATCATAACAAACGGATCTTTGTGTCAATATCCAGCTTCCTTTAATGTCCCCCCACCCCCTTTCATTCACCTATTATATAGGAGAGCCTCTTTGAGTATACAATTCGGATTTGCAGCTCTCTATCGATTGAATATCGGTTTGTATTAATGATATATAGGTTATCGGATATTCTTGGCAAGGAGTATGTGAATACTCAAGCTAGCATGTAGTTGTAGTTCAAATTCGTTTGCATTTTTTGTCTTTCTCTCGTGTTTATACACAGACTGATGTGGTATGTACGAATCAAGGGTAACAATCAGACTTTAGATCGAGATGTCAAAATTCCTTTTATACATTATACTTCTAAGGGTGTGGCTATTAGTGTTAGTTTTGCCAAATGGTATGTACCCGTAATATAGGTGGTTCATCAAGCATCATTTTCATGAGCATGCCATTATTTTGATCTATATGACATGTTCTCTCTTTATGAAGAACATACGTGCCTTTTACACCAAAGTTTATGAGATGTCATTACTACTGTATATTCACATGCCTAGCATATGACAAAAGGGACCAACCATTTGTTAATTTCCTCTTCTAGTTCCCAGCTTATAGGTGAATAATATCAAAAGCAAATGCCTTTTGGTGCATATTTTAGTATCATATAGTTACTGGACTGCTAAACTCCCAACTAATTGAAATACACGACGAGATAGCGAGTATGATAAGATGCTACATATTTCACCATCACATTATTATTGAACTTGGATAGATCCTCGATTTATTTAACTGCATAAACTATCTATGTATTTGTCTCATAAATTTGTCCTTATAATGATTGCCAAAAATATATGTACAAATTGTAAATGAGGTTCTCATATATTCATGTATTTTCTCATCCATTGCTATACAATTGAAGATCAAGATTATTTCGATACAAATCAAATGATCAAAATGTCGACAATTATGATCATATTGTTGTTTATGTATGCCTGAATGGTATAAGTGTATAGGGTATACCTTATATAATACTTGAGAAAAGGGAAGAAAAGTGAACTAATTACCCATCATCTTAATTAGTTTAATTATCAATGTTTAAAGGAGAAGAAATGGATTAGTTGATGCTAAACAAGCATAGAGAAACTTTAGTGTGTGGGAAAATGAAGGTTAAGGACAAAAAGAGGGCACCACGTTGGGGGCCAAAGGCATGGAAGAAGAGTTAAAGCTAATTAAGTGGTCCAACAAAATTAAATAATTAAAAGCATGCAAATCCCAAATGACCACTTGCAAATAATCTCACTCCTACACATGCCAACCATATACTCAATGTATAATCCTCTATAATTCTCACTTTTAGGAGGTAATCAAGCTACCATGGCCAACGATGTGCAACGAACCACAACCAAACCGATTGAGTCAAGATAAATCGATCGAATCGTAAAGAAAATTCGAGGAACATAATCTGGCAGCAAGTCATGTAGTCGGTCCAATTTGATTAGATCCCGATAATGAAACTGTCCATTCTTCTTTAGTATCCGAAAAAATTCATGAAATCGAAGTTCAAAATTAAAATTATATTTTGTCTTATTTGGATCAACCCAAATTTTGATGAGCTAAACTATTGCACACCCCTAACCAACCGACACATATTCATGAAAAAATTAACAAGTAGAAGATTACATTTTTATTTGTGAATAAGTACTAATTAAGTAACTTCATTACGAGATATTACAGATCGTTGAACTAACCTGGCTTATAGTTTGTTATTTCATTTGATTTGAGAAATATAATTCACGAAAAAATGTAAATTCAACCGGATGCAGAGTATTACACTATGTACCACTATCTCGTAGCCTTAATAACGCGGAAAATAAAGTTCCAATCATATCATACAAAACTGTAATAATGAAGAACATGGTCTAAAATAATGTAACCCTAGCTCCCAATGCTATGAAGATGTCTATCTGAATGTTTGAAGGAAGATTCCATCTCCCGTTGGTTTGCAAATGCTTCTGTTTACCCATAAAAAATTCCTCGCCGGAAAACAGCTTCATTTGAATCTCCACACCTACGCCCAGTTCGATTTCCACTTCTTCCCGTTGCTGTCGTTTTTTAGAGTTTATACAAAATTAAACATATATTAACGCTGGCACCTTTTCTGGATCCAAAAAGCCTAATCAGAAGGAACTATGGTATTAAGTGGGCACCTGTAAAGTAATTAACAGGCTTGCTCTTATGTACTTAGCTGGAGGTGTTCTAATTTTTATGGATTTAAGATCTCACTAATACCCACCTGATCGCCAATGAAGTACTAATCATTCTTCCACTAATTGAGCCATTAATTGACACAAATCGAATCTACGGGAGTTTTTTCTGGGCAAATCCTGACAAATCCGTCGAAATGAGTTGGTCATAATGTGGAGAGAATCAATAATCCCTTTATTTTTGCCTAATTGTCACCTTTTTAATATTTAAATAAATGAGGGGAGTGTGTTACAGGTTGATGTGTGGAATCGAATCTTAGTACTGCCAAGACTTATAGAGAAAAAAAAAAGATATTTCCGTACACCATTAACAGGCGATTAGGGTTTAATTTTCCCATTAGCTGTAAATTAATGAATATGTTCAATTAAGTGAAAATGTTCCATGATTTAAGTGATGGGATGGGTTGTTAATTTGGGATTGTTTGAGTTGATGATGGATTGCTGGAGTGCGCAGATTACTAAATGGTATGTATTTGTAGTAATTGGATTCTGAGGTGTGTTGATTGTTAAAAAAAATGGATGGATCTTATAGTTTGGGTGAATAGTATCCGACTCTCAATAATTTCACGACCACTGTTTTTGTATGAGAGGCTCGAAATCTTTTAATCGTGAAGTCTTCATTTCTCTCGAAAGATTCATACACGCCTTCATTTATAAGTATGACCCGTATTTTAATTATCGAAAGGGAGTATTTTCATTAATCCATTGGAAATTTGGGATAGAGGTTAGTTACGCGATCACAAATTCACATTTGTTTTATTTGTGTGGTATTAATGGGAACATTCCTAAATGCCTAATTGATTGCTTCATCATTGCCCTAGCTACATTTTTTTATAAAATACGTCTCCACATATAATAAGAAAATCAGATACTCCTCAGGAGAAAAGGCAATTCCGCCGGCGACGATCTTGGCGATTAATGCTTTCTTACGTATATACCAATTGGACGCCGGAATAATTGGTCGTGTTTTAGCGACCGACCCCGTGGTGGCTATTAATAAATGATTTGTTACCTAAGAGAAAACAAAAAAGGTAGTGCATTCATCACTGATGAAATTGTGGCCCAATTACAAAATAGTCACTGAGCTATAAATATTTCACATTTTCATAGTTTGTATTAATACTTTTGAATATTGGAGGGCCTTAATTAATTTGCCTCACAAGTTATATTATACATGGAACCAAAAGCTCTTTAAGAAGGCATCAACAACGTAACATAGCTAAACAAACATAGCTAAAAATATGTACTTTGACTTTGGTTTTTTCTCTGCAATTTTTAATCGAGTTCACTATTTAAAAAAAAACACACCTAAACATTTGGATTGTCAGTGAATTTTTTGTTCTGCATGTTCAACCGTCTAATGATAGAGGTTTTCGGTTTGAATCTCTCGGCATGATTCGGGAGGATTTCTACTTGGCTAGCATCTATGAAT